AGTTTGACTTGAATATATATATTTAATTTTTATATTTATAAGTTATACATGTATACTAATATTATATATTATATACAAATAGAAATCTAAAGAAATATGATACAGATTAAATAAACATTTTAAATGCTTTGCTAATCATGATGACTTTATATGATCATTATCTAACATCTAAAGGGACAAAATATAGACACAATGAGTTTCTCTGTTGACAATGGTGGATGTAAAGTTGTATTTCAACTAGTTTCTTCATACTTTCTAGATTTTTTGTTGTTGTCAACTTTGGTCAGTTGTGACAGTGTTTCTTCCTCTTAATGTCTCTGACAAAGTGTTCGTGTGTCTGTATGGGGGTGGGAGTGGGGGGATTGTCAGCTATGCCATTTTCTTGTTTGCTTGAGTTGGCCTTATTAGAATTATCTTCACTCAGTGCTTCTATGCAGGAAAGTTTTGAAGTTACTTGTCCAATTGTGAAGGTTATATTAGATGAACAAGGTAATATAAACGATAAATCTACTATCTGAGCATATATAAACTGAAATATGTTACAAAGCACAGAAAGCAAACCAGAACCCCCCTCCTTTCTACCTTGCATCTCTACATGCAGGGTAACACAGTTAAGATCTGACCTGAGGACCCGGTGAGGGCGCCAGAGTCTACCTTATATTAAACACTGTCGTAATAATACTTAATTAGTGTGCTAATTTTTATATAAAATAAATATCCCTGTGAATCATCCTGTACAACCATTTTTCGGATTCACTCCTTAAGTGCTGCTAAAGCCATGCCCCTTCCACTAAGCCTTTCTGATCATTGGAGCTGAGATGTCTCCCTTTTCAGTCATCCTGTGGCCTTTAGGCTCTCTTTTGTGACTTCCTAGTCATAGTTCCTAGGATCTGTGTGGGGATTTCCAGGTTACAAAACACTGTCACATACACTGCCTCATATGATTTTCCCATTAACCCTCTCAGATAGCAGATGTCAATTATATTCATTTTATACACGTGGACACTGAAAGTTAGGGATGTTAATTGACTTGCTGGGTCCACGATCCCCAGTTAGTAAGTAGCAGAGGCTGGAAAACCCAGAACCCTGGCCTCCTAATTAAGGAGATTTCGTAACCTCCGCCACCCTACTTCTATATGCATACACCTTGGGGGCATAGAGAGACCTCTTATACTTCTTTTAGACTTTAAAGTGCTATGCACACTGTTGGCATTCCATCAGCATTTTCTTTACCTAAATTACTTTGGCAAGTAAATTACTAGATAGTTTAGTTTAGGCTGTTTCACCCTAAGAGGTTATTGTGATAACCTTAGTAAATATTTTTTTACAATTAATAGTGTCTGAGATTGTTCTATAACAGTAACTGAACAAACATGGGCAAACTATAACAACATTCCAGTGAGAAGGAGGCCAGCTACTCACAAGGTCCACAAAAATTTCTAAGCATTGACAATAGATTGCTTACTTGGCATACTTCTCTTTTGAAAATAAAACTTCAGGTTTTATCACATTTCTTCACCTGATAGGTTACTTTCTGATGTCTAACGAGATAAAATATGCATAACAACTTTTGTGGAAACTTTTGTGTGGTTTTCCTTTTTCCTTACTCTCTTGAAAGAGAAGGCACCATCAAATAATGAATGAAAAATGTCTAGTGACAGCAAAGAGCAAACTCAGTTGTCAAGAAGAGGCTGGACAAAGATAATCAAGACTGCCACTTCAACTGAGAGGTAGCCAGTGAGTCTAAGCAAGGTCAAAAATAAGAAGAGAAGGGTTCTAATTGAAGATGTTTACCTATTTGAAGTTAAGAGGAAGGAAGGGATGATGTGGCTCAAAATTTACATAATAGCCTTTATTGTGTCCTAAACACTATGATTAAAATGCGACAATATGTAAACATCTGTACAGTCACTTCTACCTGCAACTAGTTACACTGAGGGTTCTGGAGCTTGGCTTGCTCTTCTACCTTAAGTGCCTGGCATAGGATATGTCTTAATGTAGACATTCAATAAGTGCGTGTTGATGGTGATGGTGGTTTAGGCTGTGAGTGGGGTGAATATAGCCCAATGCAGGGCAGTTTTAAGGTAATAATTGCACCCCCAGGACTGCTTGTCCAAACACCCTCGTGAACAAAGTGTAATGGTTGGGGGATAGAAATTGGTTAAGTGACAGGCACTGTGTTAGACCCTTGACATGCTCTATGCCATTTAGGTAGCAATGCATTCCCATTTTACAGATGAGGAAACAGACTTAGGTGCAATAACTTTCCCGTTATTAAGTTAAGAAGTTGCTAAGATTAGAACCTAGGTTTGTCAAATTGTCAAATCACCTTTCTTTCACTATGATCAACCCCACCCTATGCATTTGTGACTATCAAAAGGCAAGGAATTTCGTGCAGCATCTGTTTAGCATCTGCGCCCTCCTCTGCGCTGGGCACAACATAAGCCCCTACAGAGGGGAACTCAACTCTTACCCAGAGGCAAAGACGGTCCGGGTACACAGAGGGGATCCCAGAGCTCACCTGCCTTCTCACACGCTTAGCCCACTGAAAACGATACCTCAGGACCAGAGCGCCCAGCGGGGCGCGTGCCCGCTGCGCCCCTGCTGCCCCGCCCGCTGGGGCCGCTTCCCACGCCAGCGCCGCGTCTCACCCCAGGCCGCTGGCAGCGCGAGCAGCACCAGAACCGCCAGGAGAGCTCCTCCGGAGCAGGAGAGAGCGGGCGCCAGCGGCCAGAGAGGCTCCGGGCTCCTCGCAGTGGAGGCTCCCATGCTCCCCAAGCACCTCCAGGAACCAGATGCGATCTCGAAGAAAATCAAGTGAGGGGAAAGCGCAGCGAAGAGAGACCACACGCCAAGGCTCCGTGCCCGGGGTGTGAGAAGTGCGGCCGGGTTCCGGGGAAAAAAAGTTTTTTGACCACAGCTTCCCCTTAATGGGCGAGGTCTTGTTTACTCCCAATTTGCATAGTTTCTAACGAGTGTCGCTTCCAGAGAACTTAGGGACCCAGGTACCGGAGTAAAATCTGGCAATGCTTCAGCTCCTTGATGTATTTTGCGTGTGAGGATGGGCAGTTGCGGACAAAGGCGGTGGATTCTCGCAGCTCCGCTTCCGTACACCCCTGCCTGACTTTTCCCCTTTGCAAGATTCCGCGTGGGTAGGTTACCTAATGAAATGCCTGCTCTCTGTGTTGAAACGACAGTCGCAGGCAACATGTACGGTGGACAAGGAATATGAAGAACTGATTATTTTATGCAGAACTGAGATATACCAAGCCATTGAAAGATTTTTTTAGGTTAGTGGCTTAAATTTGCATTTAAAAAATATAATTCTGTCTATAGTATGGAGACTGAATTGGAATAAGGCAATAGTATATGGGGGAGACCAGGAAGGAGGCTTTTGCCATCATCCATGTGAGATTTGAGGGTGACCTTGACTGGGGATAAGGTGGACAATTAAGAAAGCTATTGGAGATGGAAGGAACAGAATTTGCTCATGCATTGGATTTGGGTTACTTCCTTTCTTAAAGTTAGTGGTGAGAAAAAGAGGATTCAGTGGTTAGCCCCTGAATAGGATTCATTTGAATGATGGTACTGTTTATTGAAATAAGGAATATAGGGCAGGGACAAGTTTGGAACAGGGAGTTAAGAATTCAAGGGTAAGAGAAAAGAGTGTGTGTGGTAGGCTAAATAACGGTCCCCCAACGATGTTCACATCCTAATCCCCAGAATCTGTGATTATGTCATCTTACGTGGCAAGAGGGATTTTGCAGATGTGATTAAATTAAGAATCTTGAGATGGGAGATTTTCCTGGATTATCTGGGTGAGCAATGTAATCATTGCTTATAATGATTATAATGGGGTCCTTATAAGAGGAAGGCAGTAGATCAGAGTGGGAGAAGGTGATGACTGAAGCAGAGAATGGAGTGATGCTGCCATAAGCCAAGGAATGACAGCCGCTTCTAGAAGCCGGAAGAGGCAAGGAACAAATTCACCCTGAAGCTTTCAGAAGGAACCAGTCCTGCTAAAACCTTGGTTTTAGCCAGGTAAGACTCATTTTGGACTTCTGACCTCTAGAATTATAAAAGAATAAATCTTTGTGATTTTAAGCTACAAGGTAATTTGTTACAGCAGCAACGGGAAACTAACATGGGAGCGAGAGGGTAGCTTGATCAAAGGAGAGTGCCAAAGGTTTTGGGGTTGTTTTTTTTTTGTTTTTTAACCGAGAAAGACTTGGGCATGGCACAGATAGAGTTTAATGAGGACCAGGAGGTATGGGAATGTTCTTGGAAAAGGTTGGAAATATGGGCAGTTTGTTGATTATGAAGCTGGACTTCCAGAAATACCCGACAAGAGGCCTTTTGAAAAGGAAATAGGTGGAAGAGAGTCAAAATCTCAGGAGCTGATGCAACTATGAAGGGAGAACATGTAGAATAAACAATAGGAAGATCAGGATGGAAATGGATGAATCACTTCCATGCAGAGGTTTTTAATATTCTTGTGTATCATGGACCCTTTTGCCTGTTTGATCAAGCCTATGGGACCCCTTCTCAGAATTAATTTTTTTTCTTTTGAGTGAGGAAGATTGGCCCTGAGCTATTATATGTTGCCAATCTTCCTCTTTTTGCTTGAGGAAGATTGTTGCTGAGCTAACATCTGACCAATCTTCCTCTATTTTGTATGTGGGACGCCACCACAGCATAGCTTGGTGAGTGGTATGTAGGTCTGCACCTGGGATCTGAACCCCCAAACCCCAGGCCACCGAAACAGAGTGCATGAACTTAACCACAACACCCCTGGGCCGGCCCCTCAGAATTAGTTTTTTAATGCATAAAATAAAGTACATAGGATTTCACAGGAAACCAGTTATGTTGAAATTTGATTCCAGCCATGAACCTTTGGAGGTCTGTGGCCCCTAAGATAAGAACCTTAGATTTAAAAATTAATAGAAACAAGAGTCAGTTGTTTCTAAAGCAAGCATTGGAATGAGTTGTTTGGAGGTGGAGTAATTCCAAATATCAAATGCTATAGAGAGGGGAGTAGGATGAGGGTTGGAAAGATATTGTAGCAGATATTTTAGTCGATATGTTAGCTCTTTTCTCCTCCATGCATAGCTATGATTCATGGTGGAGTAGACACTCAGGGTGGAAAACTAGCATTCTCTACTCAGTGCAGCTTCACTAATGGAGACCAACCTACACAGTCCAGCAAACCTATATCACGTAGCTCACACAAACATTCCAGAATAGTGTCTTACTTCATTTGTCCCTCTTACTCAAATCTCAGCTCTTACCCTTACTAGTTGAGAAAGATACTTTGGCAGGTCCCAAAGGCCAGGTATGTTTCTTATTTTCCATTAATTTCCATTAGGCCCTCTCCCAAGACTCTATTGCAAAAAGTATCTACTTTGATCATATCACTTATCACACCTCCTTCTTAATACATCCAATATTCTCTCAAGGATCTGATGTCACCCTTTCAAATTATTCTCAACAGAGCAATGGAAGAAGCCAGATCATAGTAGGCTGAGGAAAAGGGAGTAAAAGATTCAATTCCCCAGCCTTACATCACATGCTATCAGAAAACACTGCTCATTATCACTGCTTTTTGCACTAATCTCCTAGCATCTGCTTTCTCCCCACATTCCTTGAAAGGTTCTAGCTTCTAGCAACCTTCTCTACTGTTAGTCCTATCATAGGCCTCATTGATTCGATATTCACATTCAAATTTTCCAATTTTCAAATACCTGGCCCTTCAGCGCCTTGATCTTCTCTGCCAATGATCTTGTCTTTCACTCTACTCTGCCACTTCTGCCTATGGCCATATCTTAGATCTTGTCCTCATTAATAACTGCAACCCCTGCATAACTTCGACCATCTACTGTCCAACCACAATCTTATTCTTCTAGTTCACCTCTAGTACCCTGGCTCCAGTAATCTTTGAATCTCTCAGTACCTACAATCCATTGATCTTACCACTATCTTTCAGTCTCAAACCCCCTTACTGTCCTCACTTCCATCCGTACCAGGTTAAATTCCATGGTCCATCATTATAATCACTATCTTGCTTACAATCTCAGCTTCCTTGACCTTTTCTCACTTTATCATACTCATTAGACAAACAAAAATCCTGGTTAGATTCAATTCTCCATAATTTTGCTCCCGTACCCCATTAAACTGAATGTGGCTGGAGAAAAACACATATCCAAGATGACAAGTCTTACTTTAATGACGACTCATTTCAAATGGACCATTGTAATGCTGCCTAGTATTCCTACTATATTTGCCTAGTCCGTTTACTTTCTCATTCTCCTGACTATTTCATGTTTTTTTATTTTGACATTGAACTCTGACATCTCCTCCATCATTCTTAATCTCTGTTTATAACTTTGCTTCTGTTTTCAGAGAAGATAGAAGCAATCAAAGAGAATTTCCACAAGCTTCTCTCATCACTTCACCCAAATATCTGTATCTGGCCTATATAGCTTCCTGATCTCCTGTTAGTAAGGTTATACTGTTCACATCCTTATCTAAAGCTAACCTCCCCACTAGTGCATTAGATTTGATCTGTTCTCACTTGCTCAAGGACATCACTCCAGAAATTCTCCTCTCTTTCTCCAGCATCATTATTTCCTGCTTTCTACTAGATTTTATGATAAGCATGCAAACTAGTTATTTCTCCAAACACAGCAGGCATAATCTCCCTTTTTCTTTTCTCCCCTAATGTTCCTTTTGCCTGGAATAATTTCTAACCAGACATCTATCTGCATGGCTACCTCCTCATCTCCTTGAGTTTTTTTGCTCAAATGTGACCTTCTCAACAAAGCCTTCCTTGGCCACTATTTACAATTGCACATCCATTCAGAACTTCCTTTCCTCTTTCTCTGCTTAGTATAATTTAAAAAACTATACTTAGAATTTTTCATTTTATTACCATCTGGCGATCTGCTTATTGTCTCTGTTTCCTCACTAGAATAAAAGCTACATGAGGACATGTCTGTTTGTCACTGCTATATCCCCTGAACTAAAACATTGCTTAGCAGACAAAAAGATTTACATAATTATTTGTTGAATGAATGAATGAAATGATTGAGACAGCTAAGGTCAACTACTTTTTCAGAAAATTTGGTAAAGAGAAGAGAGAGAGTTTAGAAGAGAATCATGGATGATTTGGCATGGAGGATTTGTTTTCAGATGGAGGGTATAGTGGATATTTGTTGCTTTAATTGGGTCCCTTCTTTTGGAATTGGCACCCTGATTTTTCCTCTGGGAAACCCCCTCTATCCCGTGGTTCCATGTGGTTCAGATAGACCATGGTTTCTCAACCATGACACTATTGACATGTTGAGCCAGATAATTCTTTGTTGTAGGGAGCTGTCCTGTGCACTGTAGGATATTTAGCAGCATCTCTGGCCTCTATCCACTAGATGCCAGTAACATTCTTCTCCTTCAGTCGTAACAACCAAAATTGTCTACAGGCATTGCTGAATGTCCTCTAGGGGGGCAAGATCACCCCACTTGAGAACCACTGAGGTAGATCAATTCTACTCCCAGCTCCAAACGTGGGCAGGTAGTTCAGGCCTTGTCATCTGCTTATTTCACTGCTCTGGCCTACTAAGTGGTTCAGGTGAGGGCATGTGACCCTATTTGGACAAATCAGAGCTGATGAAGGGAGTTTTGAAGGAGTTATTGGGCAAGAGAAGCTCTTTGTGCTGGAATGCTAAGCCGACGAAATGTGCGCTTAGCATTGTCAGCAAATATTTTGCTGGTTTTTAGGGAGTGTCTACCAGAGAATGAGGGCAGCAAGGAAAATCATAACCAGGAGATAGAACAGATTCCTGAGGATATGATTTGTATATTTAATTTCCATTTGACTGAAGCCGGCTGTTTCCTTGGCCTTTTCTGTCATGTGATATAATAAAATTCCTTTTTGGTCTAAGCCAGTATGAGATGGATTTCTGTCACTTGCAGGTGAATGGGTACTGGCTTGAACAGGTTTGTAAGTAGAAAGAAGGAGCCAGTGATGAGACAGGGTATAACTGATGGAGCAGTGTCCTGGAAGAAACAGAAGGGTATGAGAAGGGAAGTGGTAGGTGGAAATGAGGATAAGTATGAGTTGATATAGATAAGCTTGGAGGTGGAGGGACAGGAAGTTGAGAGAATTACCCTGTGATGTTTTCATCATCTGCTAAGAGAACAAAGGAGAATAGGGTAGAGATGAAGGTAAACTAGAGTGGATGGCTTGAGGTGCATCAACAGATAATTTGGAGAAATGAAAATGGTACTGACTGTTCACAAAAGACAATGTATTGTATGACATCATTTATATGAAATGTCTAGAACAGGCAAATCTATAGAGACAGAAAGTAGATTAGTGGTTGCCTAGGGCTGAGAGGGTGGAGGAGGATGGGGAGTGACAGCTAATGGGGTACAAGGTTTCTTTTTGGGGTAATGAAAATGTTCTAAAATTGATTGTGGTGAGAGTTGCACAACTGTGTGGACATACTAAAAACCATTGAATTGCACAATTTAAATAAGTGAATTGTGTGGGATGTGAAGTATATCTCAGAAAAGATATTTTTTAAAAACAACAACAAAAAAACAGAAAATGGTACAGACTGTGAATGAATGAAAGATGTTGAACAGCATCCCACTTCTGGGTATATATCCAAAAGAATTGAAAGCAATATCTCAAAGAGATATTTGCACACCCATGTTCATAGCAGCATTGTTCACAACAGGCACGAGGTAAAAACCACCCAAATGTCCATGGACAGATGAATGGATAAATAAAATATTGTATACACATGCAATGAAATATTATTAAGCCTGAAAAAGGAAGGAAATTCTGACACACGCTACAATATAGATGAACCTTGAGGACATTATGTTAAGTGTCACATAAACCAGTCACAAAAAGACCAATACTGTATGGTTCCACTTATCTGAGGTATTTAAAGTAGTCAAATTCATAGAAACAGAAAGTATATGGTGGTTGCCAGGGGCTGGAGGGAGAGGGGAATGTGGAGTTATTGTTTAGTGGCTATAGCATGTCAATTTTGTAAGATGAAAAAGTTCTGGAGATCTGTTGCATAACAATGTGAATATACTTAACACTTCTGAACTGCACACTTAAAAATGGTTAAGATGGTAAATTTTGTGTTATATGTTTTTTACCACAATTAAAAAAACAAAAAAGATGCCAAACAGCATACATAGCCTAAGCAAAGATGGGAAGAGTAAATTTGTGGTAGCCAGTGAATGAGATTTTATTTTCTCAATGGTTTAAATTCTGGAACAGAGAAAATTGACAGCTAGATTTAAAGTGTGGTGGGAGAGGGCAAGTGGGCTGGGGGAAGACGTAGGCTGGACAAACATAAGAGAAAGTCTTGAGGATGAAGAAATTGAGTTTGTGGGTTGAGAGTTTGGCTAAAATGATGAAGTGGTGGGATCCAGAATGCATAAATGTTGAATCGGGAACTGTAAAAACCCTAAGACTATGTCTATTATTCAAGATTTCATTGACTCCAGAAAAAAACATCACATAAGGCAAGTATCTTTTGAAAGATAAAATTTATTTGAATGACTAATGTACACAGTATTAAATGACATTTTACAAGCAGCTAGAGCTTCTGACAAAACTGCCAAGGAAACATCCAAAGCTTGAATTGTACATCAGAAATTTAAAATTAAAACTTGACTCTCATAATTTAAAAAAATTTGTACAAATTGGAATTACTGAGTGATTATGGAAAGGCAAAGCATATATTGTAAGAAAAACTCAAACCAAGTGGAAATAAAAGAGAAATGTTTAACCATATTAGAGAAGGATGCTACTATAAAAATCAGACTTCCTACAAAGGTATGTCCATCATAATGATAGGAAATACTTCATACTTTGCTTAAATAACTAAAACCATATTATAACCAAACATATATGGCAACAGTAAGTATGCTGATTACAAAAAGAAGAGTCTAGATATCAGGACAGCTCTTTTTGAGCTGTCACCTTTTAAAAAGGTGACACTTCAGAGCTATAGCCATTGTCTGGCTCCAGGCACATCACAGGTAAGGCTTCAGAAAGTCCTTGAAGAGCTCGTGGCAGTGAAACTGGACTCCCATCTTTATCATTAAACAAACTTTCTTTGTTCTGCTTGGAATAAGTGCATAGAGGAAGTTATAGCTTATGAAATCATTTCACTGATGTCAAGAGCATACAAGTAGACTTGCTGATAATGGAATGCTTTCTGTCCAACCAGTGTTCAGTTGAATTCCAAGCAACAAGGCACACTGAAATAGATAATTTCTATTTAGAAGGCAACATGAATAGCAGTGGTGCAACTCAAAGTTTAAATAATGGGAGTGTTAATGTTCTCTATATATACCAATTATAAGTGCTATAACAAATAAAGCTTCAAGCCTATTAGAAGATATCATTCTAGTAAGAGGTCCTTCTTTAGATAACATGATCTGGAGCAAAACATAATTAAATTTTCTATTGATAAATATGAATTAAAATAAATGAGGGAGAAATTGAAACAATAGTCTCATTCTCACTCATTCATATAACATTCAACAAATATTTATGTAATAGTTTTACTTTGCAGCCCCACAGGTTTGGATTTAGAGGTCACTCTGGCATGGTCTTTTCTGTTCTCTTCTTCCCTTTTTCTATGACTTGCCAGCAGCAAGTAACCTTTCCTTCCTCAACTGCCACAGTAGTTTCTCTATCTTGTTTATGGCGTATATTCTTATACTATGATATGTCTATGTCTTATTTTTCTTACTAAAATAAGTTCCAAGAGGTCAGAGGTGGTATATTTATTTTATATTATATATATTATGTAGGAGAAAGCAGTTGGAAGTGAGATTTGGGCTTGAATTCTACCTGCCAATTACTGACCCTGAGACCTTGGCCAAGAAAACCTTTTGGCCTTGGCTTTCTCATCTTGGATTTTATATGCTCACCTTGGTATTATCTTGGAATAATACTTTTCAATGTTGTAGTGAGTGCTAAATGAGATAAGTCATGAAAGACCTTCAGCATAATGCCTGGGCATAGTAAACCTTCAAATGTTCACCTCCATTTCTCCTGGGAACCTCAGGTGGACACTTCATGTTGCCTGTCAACCTTTCTATACTCCCTATCATTCATTCAGTCTTCACCTCTCATGGTGACTACTTAATTTCTTCTCTTTTCTCTTTAAATCCCTAACATCTCCTTTCCCAATCTCCCTCTGAGCTGATCATTTTACTTTCTACTCACTGAGAGAACACAAGCATCAGAAGAGAACTTCCACACATACATTCACTCTCACATCTCCCCACCTGCCTTCATCTGCACCCATACAAGCCACCTTCCCTTCTGTTACTAAGGCCACGCTCCTATCTAAGGTCTACTACTCCCCTGCTTGAGCACTAGATCCTGTTCCTTCTAGCTTACCTAGATATTGCTCTAGTAATTCTTCCTTTTCTTTCCTGCCATCATCTCCCCCTATGTACTAGATCATTCCCATCAGCATACAGGAGGCGCAGCATAACTGCTCTCTCTCCATGCTTGAAAAAAATATTTCCCTTGCTTTACTTCCTACTCTTGCCAACAGTCTACTTATCTACTCCTCTTTATAGAAAAATTCCCTGAAAGAGTTTTCTGTGGTTGATATCTCTTAAGCTCACTTCAGTCAGGGTTTTGCCTCCTTCCTCTCCACCAAAACTTCTCTTGTCAAGTTAACCAACAAATTCTGTGCTGCTAAATGTGAGTCAGTTTTCACTACTCATCTTTCTAGGTCTATCAGCAGCATTTGACAGAGTTGATCACTCCCTCCTCCTTAAAATTCTTTCTTCACATGATTTCTAGAACAGCACACTCTGGGTTTTTCTCTTGTATCAGAGGCTGCCTCTTTGCTCCTTTGTTGGTTCCTTCTCACTCCATGACTCCTAATGTTGGAGGATCCAAGGCTGTGCACTTGGACCTTTTCTCTTCCCTAGCCTCTCTCACCTGCTGGGTGATCTTATTCAGTCTCATTATTATGTACGTCCAGACAATGACAAGGCCCAGATTTGAATATTGAGCCTGGACCTATTCCCTGAAATACAGACTTGTACATCCAAGTGCTTTCTTGACACTTCTACTTGGATGTCAATTAGATATTTCACACTTAACATCTCCAAAGTGGAACTCTTGGTTTTTCTCCCCAAACTTGCTGTTCACATTCTCAGTAGTCTTAATTAATGGCAATTCTATCCTTCCAGTTGCTCAGGTCAAAAAACCCTGGCATCATCATTGACCCCTCCCTTTGTCTCATAGGGTGATACAAACTGTCAGAAAATCTTACTGTCACTATCTTAAAAATGCATGCAGAATCTGACCTCTTCTCACCAGCCTGGTGGTAGCCACTCACACCTTGCCTGGATTATTGTGCAAGTCCTCATTGATTCCCCCTCTTCCATCCTTGGCTTTCTACCCTCTGTTCTTAACAAGCAGTTAAGGTGATCATTTGCTCCTCCACTTAAAACGCTCCAATAGTTCCCATCTCAGAGTAAACGCCAAGCTCATTAGAATGACCTAGCATACTCTATATGATCGATCATTCTCACCCTCCCCCACTTACCTCTCTGATTTCACCTTTGCCCGTTTCTCCCTTGGTCAGTCCATACCAGGCCACACAGGCCTCCTTGCTGTGCCTCCCACACAGCAGGCACACACCACCTAATGGTCTTGGCACTTGCTGTTCCGTCTTCCTAGAATGCTCTTTCCCCATGTGGCTAGCTCCTTACTTCATTCTAGTCTTTGCTCAAAGGCCATTTTCTTAGTGAGGACTTCTCTTCCAACTACCTGGACCTCTCTATCCCCTTTTCCTGCTTTATTTTTCTTCATAATACTTATCATCTTCTTATTTTATTCTTAATTATTTTCCTATTTATTTTAAGTATTTGTTGAATGGATAAATGAATTAAAAGTAACCGGGACATTAGCTGGCAATATGAAGTAGGTACGTTAACAGTTTCTATGCAAGATTACTAAAGACTTGTGCAATAGAACCATATACATTTAGTACTATGCTTATTAATAAATATAAATTGAAGAAATTTTGACATATAAATTAATAAGAATATTTCAATTTCATTAGATACCAGTTTGTCTTCTGATTAGCTTGCTGGGTTGTATGGATCAATAGAATATACTTCTTGTGTTTCTAAACGAAGATCTTTAAGATTTGTATTTGTATAATAATTGCTAAATGGAAGAAAGAAGAAAAAAGTAAAACCTTTACCCATTGGCCATGATTACTATAAAGATGTAACAGTTGTTTGCTTTCCATAATCCCCAACGCTGTTCATGGATGGTTTCATTTTATTGTCCTAGTATCCTATGAAGTAATAACTATAATCCCCACTTTTTTAAAAGGCCCATAAAAATAAATAACTTGCTAGGCTGTAACGTGTTCAAATCAGAAGTTAATATTAGGCAGTTTTACCTCAGATCCAGGATTCTTAATGATTAATAACTACGACCCCCAGTTTGAAAAAAAAGATCAAAAAGAAGCTTTTATTTTAGGATATGATCATAAATTTACCTTTTTGGGACACAATCTTCCAATCTAATTTAAAAGGAAATTTTTATATTTGATATTTAATTCGAAATCCTTATATAGTCATACAGCACTAAAAGCTTTAAAGGATTTTTAAGAGGATGTTTTTACTTTTACTTTTTGGAAGCACATATACTTTACTGTGCTTCTAAAACCACTTTGCCAAAATTAGCAAAGGACAATAAAATGTGATTATTCTCTCATGTAGAACTCTGAAATAAAGTATTACAAAAATGCTGGGGCAGAAAGATTACTGCTAAAAGTACTTATAGCATGTCACTCACTACCATATTTAAGAGGTCAGCTTATAGGAAGATATATTAAGAATATCATAAAATGGTAATTTTTAGGTCAATGTGAGATTTATGTTTTATTAAAATATCTTAGGTAACTAGAGAATAGTATACTCTCTTTCAAATGTTTGGATGGCTTTTAAAATTATTTAATTTTGTTACTAGACATCTATTTTTAAATGGATTATTACCATTTCATTTACAAATAGTATTTAAGGCAACTCAGATGTCTATATCACCTATCAGAAAATGAGTTGAAGTCGGTTAGAAAATGAAAATAAAATGAGTGATGCTTAGGAATTTAGTTTAATTAGGTTGGTTCATATCAGTTGAGGCACTTAAATATAGTATATGATATAATCGTGTTAATAAACAATAAACAACTGGAACATTATGAATTATTTGAGCTTGTAGGCATTCCCAAAGTTTGCAAATTTTCCTACACATGCAATGCTCTGATAGCAAACTTAGTAACATGAGGGAAAGAGAGAGAGACCACATTTTCTATTTATTTAAATTTCTAATTACTCTTGGCTAAATTTATCTTCTAACTTCCTGTGAGGAAAGCCATGCAAATGCCATCCCTATTTTTTTTTTGTGAGACTTTTTCCTCCCTTGAATTCTGTGAAACTACTCTCTCTTCGCTTTCCTCCTACCTCTGACTATTCCTTCCCCTCCTGCCTTTAAGCATTATTGTCCTTCTGAGAGCTTTTCTTATCACTATTTCTACCTTTTATGTTCTTTTTGGTCCCAAGGTTTCAATTGTGATTTAAATGTCACCTACCTGAGTCCAAGCCCCTCTCTTGAGTCCTACATCATGGATGCCTCAAAGTAACAGGTCAGAACTGAACTCATCATCTTTCCCCACAAACCTGCCCCTCCCTTCTTTTGGTGAACCACTGGATCCATCCAGTGACCTCCATGTGAGTCGTTCTTTGTGGCCCCTTCTCCCCATATTCACCAAGTCACTAAGTCCTGAAGATCTTATCTTCTTCATAGTGAAGCTATCTCTTATATCTGTTCCATCCTCTTGATCCCCGCCACTGCTGCTTTGGTTGAGAGCTCAATCCTGCTCCTTCTTTTGAAAATGCAAATCTGAACATATATTTCCTCACTTAAGATCCTACAGGATAAATGCCAACTCCTTATCGTGGAATGCAAGGCTTTTGATGATCTAGCTCCTGACCACTTTTCTAGATTTCCCCAATGACTGTTAAATGAAACATTATTTCCACGGAATGTTAAAAGCATTAAGTGAGAAAAAGAGTTCTGCAGTCCAATTAGTTTGGGAAACTCTGGTTTAATAAAAAATTAAACAGGCTTCTCTATTGTAGGACTTTAAATATTTTCATGGTCATTGTGATTCTCCATGAGAAAAATATAGTATGCAGTATTTCCCAATCTTATTTGGTCATCGAATGCCCTCTCTCCTGAAATCATTGACAAAAGCAGGATTATGTGGCACATAATCTGGTAAACACTACAGTCTAAAGTACATCCCACCTGTAGACCCTTGCCAGACCTGCCGTCCTCAGGCTCTCCCAGGCTTAGAGCAAAACTATTCAGTTTCATAGGTGCCATCATTACATAATCTCAGTGTAGCCCCTTCATGTCTGATGCCTAAACTAGGCATTAAACAACCGTGAAGAATGTAATCAGATAGCACTGATGGCATGCTCAATGATAGATCCAGGTGGCTCGGCATGTTAAAGTAATCTTGCGGGAGATTTGGGGTGACGTGTTTGAGGTGACATGACTTGGTCATCCCCCACTGAAAGTTACCTGAGACTTGATGAGACTTACCTGATTATCCTCCCTAACACTAGCATGTACAGAGACTGAAGAACCTATGCACACAGAACATTCCCAGGCTGATACTTGATGGTATCATTTGCTTAAAATGTATCCTTTGCACATATTAGAATATTCTGTAATTTCCACAAGATTTATGTGTCAGAGGGGTCTTTTATGCCATGCCTCCCTCTAAATCTATGTCACCTTCACCTTCAATCACTATCACACACACTATTTCCCAGTCATGTCAAATTACTTATGTAGTTCTTACAATATACAATGGAATGACAAGCCTCTGTGTCTTTACTCAAACTGCTCCTGCTACCGGGAATACCTTTCTCTCCTTGTCTGCACTCTCTTGAGGCTCACCTGAAACATCTCCCCAATTATGGAACTTTTTCTAATCAAAATTCCCAAGTACTGACCATTTGATTAGTCCCCACCAAATAACACCTAACTCATTATGGCAACATTACTTTATGGATTCAAATGTTTAAAAAACTTAATAAGTTAAAAATAAAATGTAAAAGTATGTCTAATTTCTGGATAACAAAAAATAATATAACAAAGCATAGAAACCTAGTAAATATTTAAGAAGTCATAAATACAACAACTGAGTGAGAAAAAGGATTACTTGAGCAAATAGAAAGGCTTAGTATGTTTCTGAATGGGAAGACATTACAGAAAAGATGCCAATTTCTCCCAAATCAATCTGTAGACTTAAATGCAATCACAACATATCTGTTTTTGGAAAATGACAACCTAATAATCACCTTTAAGAACAAACAGAAGAAAATGAAGAGGAAAATCCTAAAAAATTATAGTGAAGGGATTCTTGCCCTTATACTAGTAGAAAGCTATGCTAATTAAACACAAAGTGGTTTGTGAGGGAAGAAAAGACAGATCAATAAAGCAGAAAAAGGAGTCCAGAAACACAACATATCCAGCTGTATTAACTACTTGATATATGATCAAGTTGGAACAAACTTTCTGGAAAGTCATTTGGCAATACTGATTAAACATCTTAATTGTTGATGTACTTATTCCTAGTAATTCTAGAAATCTATGCTAAGGAAATAAGTAGATGTGGAAAAAGGTTTATTCAAAGGTGTTTCTTGTATCTTTATTACCAAAATAAATGTGGAAGCAACCTGCAATTTTCACAATACAGAAATATATATAGTAGAACAATATGCTATTAAGTAAATAAAAAGAAAACATGATTTAAAGACACAAAAATATATACATTAGGCTAAATGAAGAAAAATTAAGGCAGAGACTATAATGCCAAAATTTCAGTTTAAAAAGAGGAAAAGAGAAAGAAAATAAGAAAACAATCAGATGGGAATATACCAAAATATTTGCAGTTGTTACCACTGGGATTTTTTTTTTCTATTTTCTAGATTTTTTTATATTGTATCATCTGAATAAACACCATTCAAATGAAATAAGTGATATCTTTTAAGTTCTTATGGAGAGTGCTTCCTTCTATATAGCACAAGACACCTTACTCCAGTTATCACATTGCAATATTCATTTCATAAAATTTGTGCTTCTGTGTTTAGTTCAAAGCAAAAAGCCAAACCTTTTGTGCATTTGGGTCAATCATGCATTGAACTTACCGTTCTCTGTGTTTGAGTATCATGCATAAGGAGACACTGATCAAGAAGATAAGCAATACTAAACCTGCAGAAAGACCTAGAAAACAAAACAGCAAGTATCAAATGCCAGAAAAAGGTAACTTATATTGTTTTAAAGTGATTATGGGGCCTAGTCCTAGTGGTGGGGAAAATGTTATGTGACTTTTATACTTATCCTTTCTCAGCCATATAAATATTGAATTCCTGAATAATCATACTTGGGCTTAAGGTTTTTCTGATTCAGTCCAGTCCACATTTAAGCTAAAGCACCAAGCATTTGACCACAGGGCTCCAGTCAAGTCCATTTCTATTTGTTTCAGTTTTATTAGTAATATTCTTGTTACTGGGGTAAGATCAGGATCCCATGACTTTGCATAACAACATTTAACTCTCAGTTGGGAAATATATTTTGCTACTGCAGAATAAGCCAACCTATTTTGATAGTACCAGATCATTCAAAAGACCAAGAGTTAATGTAAACTATACGTTCAATTAAAAAAAATAAAATAAAATAAAAACTGAGACTAGCTGGCTGTTTAAATCATTTATTCAACTCTATCCAAAAGTGACAGTTTGTAATATGAAGTGCACCTTAAAAGATCCTTAAAACACCAAAAAAGATAATTTCCTATGATTTAAAGTGAAAAAAATGAACATTCAGGTAGAATATAGGGCTTCAAATTTTACATATGTATTTATTTATTTATTTATTTATTTTGGTGAGGAAGATTAGCCCTGAGCTAACGTCTGTTGCCAATCCTCCTCTTTTTGCTGAGGAAGATTGGGCCTGGGCTAACATCCGTGTCCATCTTCCTCTACTTTTTATATGTGGGAGGCCTACCACAGCATGGCTTGATGAGTGGTGTATATGTCCGTGCCGGGGATCTGAATCTGTGAGCCCTGGGCTGCTAAAGTGGAGCACGCAACTTAAACACAATGCCACCAGGCTGGCCCCAATTTCTATATATATTTATAAAACATCATTACAACTTTTCTTCAAGTGTTTAAGAAAACTTACCACAAAAAAGAAGAGGAGCAAATGAACCTAAGGAGAATATAAAATCATGAAAATATTAGTCTAGTTGCATGATTGAGTGTAGCCCAAAGTCCCATGAATGTTCCAGAAGTTAACACTTAGCTCCCTTCTTTCTAAGTCTACTTAAAAAGATGTATTGGAACCCTGAGATCATATCCACTCTTCCTTCATTTCTTAGGTAACAATTTATTTGACTTTAAAAATTTTTTCACTTTAATTAAGTTGGGGTGGTTTACCAAGTTAAAAAACCAGTATACTCAACTTTATAACCAGGGATTTCTCAGGTTAGATTGCAAATAGTCACTGTTATAACAGGTTGGTTAACATATTTTTGGAGGTCCCTGTCAAATTAGTAAGCACTTATAAATCAAGATTCAGCAATAAGGAAGTCTCAGCCACAACTCCTTTCAGAATGTAAAGTTGTTAGTTTTGCACCTTTTAAGTTAGTGCTCCTTTCTCTTTATTTTCTTTCTTTACTTCCCCCATCATCAGAAAGTTTTGCTTTTTCTAGAATAGACCACCAACTTCAAATTTGTCTATTATTGTACCACTGGTCACAGACATATGTCAATTTAAAACCCAGAAGTCCCTAACATTGAGGATACCCCTCACTGTCTTCTCTCCAATGAGACAAGAACCAGCTGCAGTGAAGTCCTTTGCACTCACTTGGTGATTTGCAAACAGCCAGGGGAGGGTTCCATCCATGATTGTCCTGGCACTGGCTCTGAGGACTGCCTTCCAGGGTATACCCATCTTCACACTCCAAAGTGACGATTGCACCATACTGATACATTTTCCCAGGCTCCAGCCCCTTCTGGATTCCATTCATATGCTCTGGGGAGCTACAGTTTACCTCTGAAATTAAAGGAATCTAATTGAAGCTGGGTCATATTTTGTCTTTTACCAAGGAAGCAGATACTGCCCTTAATGGGAAGGTGTATGAAACCAACTCAGTTCATTCTCAGTAAAGCCTCACTGAAATAACACAAAATGATATCCTAGACAGGGTCTTTCAGTGTCAGCCATCTATCTCAATAACCTGTAGGTAATTTAAACCAGATTATTTTCCTTCTTTGTGCTTTAGTTTCTAAACTACTAGTGTTGGATAATTTTAATGGCTTCTTAGAGAAATGGGTGAGGGCTGAATGGGTAACATTAAGAATTCTGAATTACTGTCTCATCAGCTTCTACTCTTACTCTCTAATTCTTCATACGTGTACACGCTTCCTCATTTCTTCTTTCTTCTTTTCAGTGTAGGAGTCAATAGTGTGAGATTTTGGATTTGAATCCTGACTCTAGGACTTCCTAGCTGTGTGACTTTGGGTGAGTTACAAATCTCTCCATTCTACTGAGACCTCATCTATAAAATAGGAATAATAATGGCACCAAGTTCATATGGTTCTCATGAAGATTAAATGATATAATGCATGCAAAATGCTGTGCACAGTCTCTGGCATATGGTAAAAAGTACTCAACAAATATTAGAGATTAACTCACTATTCATATTTCATATGCATTGCTTATGATAATGAAAATGACATTCTGAAACTTTTATAAAAAAAACATACCCATAATCCTACCACCACTCAGAGGAAATACACTGAAAAGATCATTGTGCTTTTTATTAGTATTTTGTCAAATGCACACTTGTCATAACTATAATCACAATGCAAATAACTGTAACCACAATGTAAATTCAGCCTGCACTTTAGTTGTTTAATTTACATAAGCACTTCAACATTCTACATTTAAATGACTACGTAAGTGATCATTCATCAGATAGACTACACCCTAAGTCCTTTTTCTTATTTTGTGATATTTAGATTAATGAATATATTAATCCAATTCAATGCATTTAATTAAATGATCCAAACAATGCATTTATTTGGCTGTTTTAAGTTGAAAACACCTACTGAATATATCTATTTGGGGCAAATTTGATTTAAAAATAAGAATAAAAATATAGAATGCACCTTTACAATAAGGGGCAGGTTGGCTCCAGGTTCCTTCATGTGTACAAAGAAGGAGTGCCTCTCCCACCAGCAAGTAGCCTTGGTTACAGGTGTACAGGATTGACATTCCAGGAGAAAATCGAGCTATGTCTCCACCAGTGTGATTCGCGTTGGGGATTGTAAGTGGAGGGTGACATCCTAAGAAGGCTAGACACCAATAAAAAAGGATCTTTAATTTATCACAGAGGAACACATTGCCAACACTATCTGTGGGTGATAGCAATGCAGAAAAAAGGCAGGCAACAAGCCAACTAATTGGTACCCAGAAATATTCCTTTCACCCAAACCAAGCAGCATGGACAGAGATTTGCATTGCCTACATATATTGTATATGATCTGAAGAAAAATATCAAAAGTAAGATAATGAAACATCAATAGTTGAAACCCACATTCTAATCTATCAGCCAATAGTATTCTTTTGTTTTCTCTTTCAATAGCAGAGAGGCTGTAGTCTAAGGGTCACACACTCAAATGCCTACAGGAGCCAGGAAGTGAAGCCACCAGATATGACCAATCAGAGAGCACCTGTCCTTCTAAAAATGGCAGCCACTGCCCTGGTCAAGCTATGGGTGCCTGGCAGGAAAGCAAACGAGGCCCTCACTCTATCACAGGTTCACTATTTATCTTGGGCTGTGGAGATGGGTTTCACTTAAATTAGATTACTGTGCTGGCCAAAGAAAACAGTTCTGGTGACCTGAATTCAATTCTTGGGTCACCATTTGGCAACCTCTATTGTAGATAGTCACTGACAGGAATAAAACTGCCAAATGATAACCAAAATTATAAGAAAGATAATTCAGTGAGTTTGAAGGCCAGCTTCATTCTCCAGAATACCCAAAGTTCTCTTTTGGGCTGATACTACAGCCTTAAATATCAAATTATCAAGCAATATTACTGCCAAACATTTGCCTCCCCAAAAAAGGCATGTGTATTTTCCTAATGTAAATTAATAAAAAGAATAAATTTTGGAGACTCCATCAATTTGGAAGTCAACCATTATCCTGGCATGTACTTTTGCTCAACACACTTAGAAAGAAAATGGAAAAAACAATCAGGTGAGAAGATAAGGCAGATAACTTGTAAAACAATATAATTGCCTTAGCTTTTATATGCTTTTTTTAGGCAAAATGGCAAATGCAGATTCAAAGCCTTTTTTCTTTATTCTGTGCAACATTCCATACTTTATTCCTTAAAATATCTTACCCTTTTTGATACAAGTTGGTATACCTGGCACCCATTTGTTATTGGTATGACACCTAATCAAATGACTGCCATTCATGATGAAGCCAGGGTTGCAGGCAATGTATACTATGTCATTGTGGGAATATGAAGAATGAGTTTTATTTAGCTTGTATCCATGTCTGACTTCCGGGTTAGGGCAGTGAGTCACAGGAGAAGATTTTAAGCACTCCGGGGGAGGTCCACTCCAAGTTCCATGTCCTTTAGAATCACTTATGCATTGTATACTTTTCTCTCCCAGAAGATAGAATCCTTGGTCACATGTATAAGAGACTTCCTTTCCATATAGAAAATGTTCTTCCAGCACACCTGTGTGCCTCCCATTATCAATCACTGGTGGAGGTTGACACTGAATAACTGCAGAAGAGATTTAGGAAATTCTACTTCAGCTAGTACACCAAGGTGGACGGTCTTCATTCAGGTACAAATAGAACTATGCAACTACATGTATTGCACATAACTACAAAATTATTTAGATTTTAGAACCTGGATTATGGTTTTTTTTAAAACAGCTTTATAAAGTTTTCTGACTATATGAGTAATACATACTCATTTCAAGAAAATTTAGACAACACAGTAAAATATTAAGAAAGGAATAAATACAGCTGTGTTCCCATTAACTAGAAATATAGGCCATACTTGTTTTGTTTTTAATCTTGAGCAATTAGCAGATAGATGACAAATACTCAGTTCCTACTTAACAACTTTGTTTTCCAATGCAAGTACTGACTAAAAACTGAGAGATTTTTCTTATCTTACGTACACTGAGATAGAACACTTAGACTATGTACGTAAGACTAGGTGTTCAGTGGCCTGCCCTCTCTAACCCCCTACTAATCCACTGACAACTTTTTTTTAACTTACCTTTACAAAGTGGAATCTTTTGGTACCAAACCCCATTTTCAGCATCTTCACACTTCCGATAAGCATGTCCAGTCAACTGGTACCTAGAGAGAGATTATAATACATTTCCTCTTCCTAATATCACATCTCAAACCTCAAATAGCCTCCTCAAACCACATATAGAGACACTTCTAAATAAGAATTTCAGCAGAGAGGAGTTAAAACTCTTGGCCCTCCAAGTAAGAAAACTATTTTAGACATAGAGTTCCTCACAGAAAAGCCATTGCCATGCCAAGAAAGGACTGAAAAGTCACAGATGCTAGTTAGACCTTTGGAACCTCACATTCTTTGTGAGTGTGACAAAGAAGAACCTCTAAAGGGAGCCACCAAGACAAGCTGAGGGTAGACTTAATGCACAAAACAAGGTGGAGACCCTTTCTCAGAGTGGATCATCTCATGCTCACCCATCTTGACAGGATGTATTAACTTGTACCACGTGCCAATCAACTGGAAGCTCTTGAAGATCTTCTCTCACAGACTGGCATGGTGCTTCTAGAGGAGCAAAGTTGGAATTACTTATATATGCCAGATATCAAAGAGAAAGACAACTCTGGAACTGAAAGTACCTTCACACCGAGGGGCAGAAGGACTCCAATTTCCTGAAGACAAACAGTGAATGGATTTGTTTCCCACAAGTAAGTAGCCAGGGTCACAGGTGTAGTCTACAGTCATCCCAGAGACAAAGAGCACCCTATTTCCACCTGTATGCCGACCATGGTGGAGCCCAGAAGGTGGCTGGCAGCCTGAAGAGAAAACTCCCCACATAAATACCAACAAAAACAGAATTTATACTTAAGAACATTAAATAGACAACATTTGACAACAGACAATCTGAAACTTTTAAGCCAAAGATCATGAAGCTCTAATGCAATACTGAATGCTTTCTGCTCTTTTGCTGGAACTAGGCACCTTTAAAAAGGTCTTATTCTCTACCCTGAATATATCCTAGATCCAAGGGGGCATTTACACAAAGAACATATAGAACACACATAGAACATTTTATTACAGAATGGAAGGAATGGGATAGTAATCTGTGTCCCCTTGTCTTTTTACATGACTCTAGTTTTGGGTGGGAGATAATAAACGAGAATAAATAAGTAAATACTTCATTTTTTCCCCATTGGGTTTTTACCTTTTTCACAAACTGGTACTTCAGGATCCCAGGTGTTATTGGCTTTGCAACGAATCTGACTGCTGCCCTTCAAAGTAAATCCTTCATCACACTTGAATGTCACACTGTCGTTGTAGAAATATGGGGCTTCCTTGCCAGATACCTTGTATCCATTTGCAACACGGGCATCTGAGCACTGAACAGCAGGGAGGGAAAGTTTACAGAGAGGAGCAGGGCCACTCCAGATGCCCCTCTTTTGATCGTTACTTGTACAACGGATGGTGCTCTCTCCAATGAGGTTGAATTTCACTCCTCTCTCTGGCCCAGGGTTACATGTGTAAGTGACTGTGGTTCCATATAGAAAGCCTTCTGAGGAACTCCCTGTGTGTATCCCATTGTTGATAACAGGAGGTGGTGGGCAGGTGATTTCTGGAGAGAGGAGAAATTACTGTAGGATTTTGTTGCGGTATTAGACACCAAAGAAGAGAAATGAAGCTGGTTATGAATGAGTTGTTACCAGGTTTCCTGGAGGACGTGGGCAAGTTTTGATGATATGAGTTATCTCAAGGCTCATTATATGTGTAAAATTCGATTTAAACAGATGTCATAGGAAAGATTTTTGTAATGGAAATCTTCATTAGAAGTGAACATGTAGAGCAACATCATATTGTGAGGCAGTCAAGTCCAGTAGTAAATCATTAATTAAAAGAAGAATTCTTTTGGAGCCTGCCCCATGGCCTGGTGGTTAAGATTGGCATCCTCTGCTTCGGCAGCCTGGGTTCGCAGGTTCAGACCCTGGGCACCGGCCTACACCACTCATCAGCCATGCTGTGGCAGTGACCCACATACAGAATAGTGGAAGACTGGCACGGTTGTTAGCTCAGGGCTAATCTTCCTCAAGCAAAAAAAAAGAGGAAGATTGGCAACAGATGTTAGCTCAGGGTGAGCTAATCTTCCTCAGCAAAAAAAAAAAAAGAAAGAAAAAAAAAGAATTCTTTTTTTTAATAGCCAAGAGGCAAATAAAAGGCACAGGGGAATAGAATTAAGCTTTTTTGAGTACTGTCTTTGAGCTGAGGTAATATGATAGGTTAGCCAAGAATATTTATTGTTGATTGAGTACTTACTTTTTTTTTTTAATTTTTTATTTATTTATTTATTCCCCCAAAGCCCCAGTAGATAGTTGTATGTCGTAGCTGCACATCCTTCTAGTTGCTGTATGTGGGACGCGGCCTCAGCACGGCCGGAGAAGCGGTACGTCGGTGTGCACCCGGGATCCGAACCCGGGCCGCCAGCAGCGGAGCGCGCACACTTAACCGCTAAGCCACAGGGCCGGCCTGAGTACTTACTTTTTGACAGGCAATTTTCTCATCTACAAAGTAGGGATAGTACCATTTAATTTAATAACGTTGAAGTCTGCAGTCTTATGCTAACGTTACAGATGAGAGGCTAGAATTTCAGAGAAGTCACATAAATTGCCCATGGTCACATTAAGCAGTAGAAACAGAATCTGAGTTCAGCTCCCACACCAATCCCCTTTCTCTCCACTAAACTACAGTGTACCCAAAATTAAGGATGGTGGCTCATATACTCACTGCCTTCATTATTCTTATACTCCTAAATCACAAAAAAGAATCAATAACTAAATACATTTAAATTAAGTGATTGCTATGCTTTGAAGTAGAAAAAGGTGACAGCAAAACCATACAACTATAACTGTTGACAAAGTTAATAGAACAGAATCTCACATTCTTATTCCTATAACATGGCCTAAAATAGAAATCTCCCAGGAAATGCATAGACCTCACATTATTTCAGGTCCTCTGTTATTTTTGCTACTTACCTTTACAAAGACGAATCTCCATAAACCAAGGAACCATGCCTTGACACAGCTGATAAACACTCTCACCTAACCGGTACCTAGAGACAAAGAGTTATGTCATTTTGTTATCCGGTGACCAGTAAGCTAAGCAAGAGCTATTGGCTCAAAAGCTGACTCACCACTTTCAGGACAAGAAGCTATAGGAACAAAAATGTAGCCCGCCTCAGCACTATCCATCCATTGCATAGGCATAATTTCCATGCATGGAAAAATAGCACGATCAACACTTCCATGAACACATGACACAGAAGGGCCTTTGAGATAAACTCTTACACAGAGCTTGCAGTGTGCACCGATAAGCCAGACCTAATTCAGGCTGAGACAGCCTTTACTCACCCTTCATCGCAAGCAGAGTTAACATCTGGTCTGATAAATTGATCCTGGGGTTTTATAAAGAGTTGTTTTCCTATAGGTTTACACTCTGCCACTAAGAAAAGACACTAGGATGAGAAATCAACTCAAGGTAATCTCAAAACCACAAAACATTTCTACACAAAACACATCTACATTCAAAGCCTGGCACCTTTGCATTTGGGGGCAGTGGGTGTCCACACCCCGTCAGAGGTACAACGTATGGATTCTTCTCCCACCAGCACATAGCCAGGGTCACAGCTATACTTGATGTATGTTCCAGGGTCAAAGCGAATCAGTTGTCTATCCTCCTTTCGCCCATTGAGGATTTTAGGAGGGGCTTGGCACTCTAAAAGAAAGGAAAAATAATTTTCTTATGTAAACAACAGAAAGAGACAAAGAAATTGTCATTAATGCTACAATTCCACTCTGGTGGCAATTGTATGGTACAGAAGGTATCTTGCAGCCCAGTTTTGGGTAATTTTTGATGAGTGGTTCTTAAGCTTTTCTTTCTTTTCTGCACTTAGGCTACTGCAGGTTTTATTCAGTTCCCACTCAGTGCTCTAACTCCTCTCTGTCTCTTCCTTTCTTAAGGAGTTATCTTGTACGCTTTTAATGGGAGATTCTGTTATATCTGTGGGTTGGGGGCTTTGCTTTTCCCTTTTAAGAAATCACTATTAAGACCAACAATCATTTTTACCAATTTTTTTCCCCAAAGAAATGGGCAACTTAGTGACTCCTAATTTTCTTCCCCCCAAGATACTCACAAAATGAAACAATGTTGGGGGGCGGTGTTAAGAAAGCCTTCTAGATAATTTATATGCACTATATTTAGTAGAATTGAGGGGACTAGAAACTGAAAAGACCCTGCTTAAGTCCATAACCCCTTCCTCTAACTCTTCAAAAAGATGAATCCGTATTGGAACACCCACCCTTTTCACAGACTGGTGCTGATGGCTCCCATGTGCCTTGACCATTACATCGGATTCTCTTGCTGCCCTTCATGGTGAAGCCAAACTCACAAGCAAATACCACAGTGTCATTATAGGAATATTGATCTTTCTGCTCAGATAATATTTGGCCTCTTAGGATCTGGGGAGGTAGACACTGAACCGCAGAAACAGAAAGTTCACAGCGTGGGGCAGGGCCACTCCAGGTCCCAGTCTTCTCACTATTAGTGGTACAACGGATACTGTGCTTCCCAATAAGGATGAAGTTCACTCCCTTCTCTGGGTCCGGGTCACAAGTGTAAGTGACTGTGCTTCCATATGGAACGTTCCCTGAAGAGCTGCCTGTATGTCTTCCATTGACAATAGGAGGAGGTGCTGGGCAAAGAATTTCTAGGGAAATTACAGACAGAAATGACAAGATTACAGCTGTATTTCAAACAAAGAATGCCTCAGAGGTTACTTGATACCACTCTCACATCCTAGGTTCAGGGACAGTGATACTTGAATCTGTAATGAATCAATCAAGACAGCAATAGCAATATAATTCAAAAAGTATGATTTAAAACTTTATTCCTGGCTATGTCTACTTTTCTGATCCTGTGATTTCTTGTACTGAATATACAAGCTCCTTTATGTACATGGTCTGGCTGCAAGTCTCCACAGCTTTCAGAGAAAGAAAAGCCTAGCAACTCTGTTTTACTTGAGTAAGCAAGGAATAAAAGAGGTAACTGGAGGATGCTTCAGTGAAGAACATGTCCCTTAAAGATCTTTAGGAGAGATGTTTGCTCTGTAAGATTCTGTACAGTAATGACTGAACCAGAAGCTTTTAGCTAAGCTGAGAATGCAGTGTCCTGTTGAGCCTCTGACCGAGGAACTAACTGCAAACCACAGTTGCCTAACCTACCTTTACATACTGGTATCTTGGTCCATGAAGCGACCTGTCCAACAATTACGCACTGACTAAATGGTTGGCCTTGTAATCGATACCTGGAGACAGAGAGTAGTCATTGAGAACTATTAAGCAGTTGGTGTTGTAGAACAGCCTCTACTTAAAATCTAAGACAAATTCACCTAATTTGTGTGCACCAATTATTTTTATCAGCATTATGTCTCATAACCTCACCCTAGGCTGTCCATAGATCCTCACAGAGGAGCCTTCTGCAAGTTTCACAGATCACACCATGCACATATAAGCCAAATGAATTAAATCTCATAGGTCCTCCAGACACTCACCCTTCATTACAGGAAAAGTTTACAGTTACGCCAACCCGAAACCTTGGAGGTCCCCTTATCTGCCCATTGGGAAGTGGTCCTGGAGGTTTACACTGTGCCTCTAAGAAAACAAGCCAAAGATGAGCAAAGTGTGGCAAATAACAGAATAGGCCAAATTCTTAAAACTGATTATAAATTTAGGGTACCTTTACATCTGGGAATACCAGCACTCCAGTATCCTGAAGACAGACATCTAATAGTCTTTTGTCCAACAAGCAAGTAGCCAGGTTCACAGCTGTAAGTCACAGACAATCCTGGGACAAAGGGGCCAACATTCTTCCCTGTGTGATGTCCATTGGCGATCATGGGAAGTGATGGACACTTCAGGGGGAAATCTTTACACACACACATCAGGAAAAAGGCCATCAGATGATACATCCTTCACAATCTAGAATTTGACTTAGTACATAGATCTAAATAAATGACGTGATCTATGGTAACCAGTCGTCATTAATTTTCAACTCAGTCTTTTAAAGGTGAAACAGGTGTGGTTTAATTGTATCCACTTTATACCACAAATAGCATATTATTTTTCATTTTTAGTTACACTTTGTGAATTATATTTGCCTTGTGAAAAATTTCAATTACCAATAAAAGTCCGTTTTCACCCATACTCTCATCCTACCCTTAAGCCTATTCTCTGCTCCAAAAGTAGCATGTTATTTAGGGGGTTATCCTGCCAGACATCAGTGACATAGTTTTTTGGGATTCTATATGTGATACATACATACACACATATTGTGTGTGTGTGTTTGTGTACTCAATACATATTATTCTATGCCTTGCTTTCTTTGCTTAATAATATGTGATATCTTTCCATGTCAATACATATAGGTCTATCTAAATCTTTATAAAGGCTTAAGTGTTTTCCATGGTCACCCCATTTTGTGACTATCTTAAGATCTTCCCTACCTCCAAGATTATATATCTATATATAGATAAATAGATTCATATTTTTCTAATGATTTAATAGTTTTTTAACTCTTTAATTGATTTAGAATTGATCAATATTGCTCATTATTAAGAAAATAAATAGCTAATTTTGATGGCATAATTTTTGTCAATATTGCCAGTCCCTGTAACTGTGTAATTGAAATTCAGATTTAGATTTCAGTAGCAACATAAACCAAACCAAATGAAAAGGAAATGAAGAACTTACAGTAGTCCCTATTTTCAAAGTCATTTGATTTGAACTGTTATGGCTTTAGGAGATGACTTCAGGAAAATAGTGGATCACTTCAGAAAGTGTTTATAGAGGCCACAGAGAACAAGACATCATTTCTGCCAGACTATATTAACAGCTCTTTACAGATGAGCTTTAAATCCATTGGATGTATTTTCGCTATTAGATCCCATATTCCTTCTCAATTTATCAGTAACCCAGACATATAGTTTAAAACCATCTAATTCCCACAGCCCCAACAAACTCTAGACCCCATCTTTGTGAGACTCATTCCATTGAATTATTAGGTATGCTCAGTTACATTTTTCCATTATACTTTAAAATTCTTTGCTCTATTGACGTTTGTTGAATGAACATTTATACCCCTCCATTACTAAGAAAAACAGGAAACCATAATTTTTTCCCTTTCCCTGGCTTCCTCCCTCCACCCCCACCATTCACACATCCACACTGTTCTTCCTGCAGAATGAGACAAAACTTAATCTGTACAGAAATACAAGGCTCAAACCTCCCAACTCGGTTTTATTTTTGTTTATACTCACCACTCTCACAGGTTGGTAGTGGTGTCGGACCCCACGTTTTATTTGCTTGGCACCAAACAGATTTGTTTCCTTTCATGGTGAAGTTGAAATTACAGCTAAACGTCACAGAATCACCGTGTTTGTATGGTGGTTTAGACATTTTATTTCTGTATCCCCCTGGTACTATGGGCTCAGAGCAAACAGTATGTTTACTGTAATATTCACATGTAGGAGCAGCTTTATCCCAGACTCCTTTCACTTGGTCTTTACTTCTACAAAAAATATTTCTTTCTCCAATGAGGCGGAAGGCACTTGAACAACTGTACCTTACCACAGTGTCAAGAGGTATGGGGCCAGAAAGGTAACTACTCCAACCATTTTTGATAGGAGGAGGAGGGTCACAAAAAATCCCTGGAAAGTAGAAAAGGAAATATGTGGTCATACTGATCATGAAAAGAAAAAGATTCAAATTTAGATAAAAGGTCAAAATATAGGTCATGTTACTTTTTCAGAGACAGACTTAGAAATCTGTGTAATTTATTTCTTACTCATAGTCCCTGCTTATACCCAAGCTCCTAAATTCTTACCTTTCTCTTGATCGTCAGCAAACAAATCAATATAGGACTATACTCACCATCTTGACCCAACAGTAACAATGAAACAGAATTTATTGAATAGTTCTGAGTCTAATCAATTTTAATAATGAAACAAAAGGCAAACAGCACATGAAAATAATATGTTAATAACATGCTAATCACATGTGGGGAGCCACCATGGACTAATAAAATTTGGGCTCAGTAGACTGGTTTCACATGTCCACTGTCATTCAATAGCTGTGTGACCTTAGGCAAGTCTTACCCTCTCTAAGCCTCAGTTTCCCAGTCTGTAGTATAATTCAAGCTATTTCATAAGGTTGTAATAAGAATCCAGGGAGATAAAAGTACCTGGAAGGGGCAAGTACAATACCTGGAACATACTAATTATTCAATGCCTGTTTCAAACACGCAACTGGGGCTAAATGTGGTGAGACCACATTCTGTCCAGCTACTACGGATACTGTAGCCTCACTACAGGTCATTTGTCATCCTTTGATGCTGGATCCCTTTGAAAAAGCCACAGGAAGTGATCAGAGGTTTTGAATAATGACCTCATAGCCTTTATTTACTTGTCCTAATTGACATGAAGGATATTAATTGTTTAGAGCTGTGTTGGTATATGCACACCTTTCCTGAGTGAGTCTCAGAATAAAGGGAAAATTGCCAACCTCAACAACTTGCAGTTGATTTCCATTTAGCTCCAATAGTTGCTCATCAGTAGAGGAACTGGCATAAGAAGACATGGCCAAACCATTTCAGCACCATTTCATTCATCAATGCTACTCAGTTTCAGTAGGGGTAACTTTTGAGAGCCTTTATCTTTATACATATAAAATACTCAATACAATATGTAGTCAATTGAATAAAGTTAGTCTTGGTCTGCATTCTAGAACATACAGAAGAGTGGCATATATATGTTCAAAGCACACATACAGATAAGATGTTATAATTGATAAATGCATGAGAACGCACCACAAATCAAGAGGCAAGATTCATGCTTGATTATTTTTGCTTTCTACTCACGTTCACAGACAGGAAACTTATTATTCCAGAGTACACTCATTCCTTCTGAGACACACTGACTAGAAGATTTGCCATTTAACCGGTACCTTAAACAATAAGGGGTAGCAAATTGTCACCAGAACAAACCAATTCTCAGTTGCATGGAATTAATCGCTTCTCCCAAATATATGGTATTAATGGCTCTATTTTTTTTAAGCATTTAAGGAAAAAGTCCAAGATTGTTTGTGAATCAGTTCAGCTACGTGATGACTTCAGACCAGGTAAAAACAAAGAGAAAAAAATTCAAATGATCATATCATTTTTTATGAATTCTCCCTTTCCTCTTTGGCATCCAAATGTCGAGATTCTCTTGACCATTTAGAAGGGGAAAAAACCTCCGTTCCTAGTGAAGAAAACATCAAAGATTTTGCTTCCTAAGTTCACCCCAAAGAGCCCCTTTTACTGAACTCCCATCATTTATTCACTCTCCATAATAGAAGCCTTAACCTCTGACCCCAAACTTTGCTTTTTCAAATGATGAGAGGACAATTCCCAGCTTTGGCTGGCCATGCACAATACATACACTTGGAGAAAACCAACAGGATTTGCTTAATAACAGAATTCTTAATCATAAAATGTAAAGAAAAGGAGAGAAAAAAATCAGAAGGAGAAAAAAATTTTAGCTATCTTTAGAGATCACATTTTGCAATGCTTAGCTATAGATCCTAGGTCTTAATTCAGGGCCTGTCACCTCACACTCACCCCTTATCACAAACAAATGAAACCTCTGCCCCAAGCTGGAGATTAGGAGGAGCCACCACACGGCCGTTGAGAAGTTGGTTTGGAATGGCATCGCATGATTTCACTAGGAAAAAAGAGACAAGGCTGGCACATGAAAAGTTAGGAAACAGTTGAGTTTCCTTCAGATGGAATAGAGCTTTAGGCACCTTCACATCTGGGGGCTCTATGGCTCCAGGTTCCCAAGGATGTACACTGCATAGGGTTAGTTCCAATGAGAGTGTAGCCAGGCTCACAGCTGTAGGACACTTCCTGTCCAATTTGAAAGAATTTCTTATCCATTTTGTTATAATTACCATGGTGGATATGTGGAGGTGGCAGACACCCTGAGAAAAGAACAGGACCAGAGGCCTTTTATTTCTGAAATAAGAACTTTCTTCTCTACAACTTAAGCCAACTTGGAGTTGGGAGGGGTAAGATGAAGATAGTCATGTCAACTCTCCTAAGTGTAAGGCAGAGACTCCTTTGGGAGAGATGTGGAATGGGGCTAACACGCATTACTTTTTTTAGACATGAGGAACCATGAACTATCTGCTTTCCCTATCTTGATCTATGCCAGGAAACATTATACCCACTAACTATTTTCCATTTTATTTAACTAAAACTGTCTTGGATATCTTCTCACTAATATTGTAGCTAAGGGAAACAAACTATTGTAGTACATTTTCACCTCCAAAATCTACCTCTTTCTTCCTGCTCCCCAAACTAGGTTGATGAAGTTTCTGAGCCTTGTGGGAGGGGCTCCCAATGTTGCCAGGTTTCTGGTAAGTTAGGCATTTCTCAATAAGAGTAGGGGAGAAAGGGAGAGTTGGGGAGAGACTCACGCTTAATTCTAGCCTTATTCCATAAAGGCTACATTTTTCAATATGAGAATGTATTATGTCTACAGATTTTTGAATCAAGTTCTTACATCAGCCAATTTCCCCCACTGGCATGGCCAATAGTATTGAGAATTTATTTTACTCTCATTTAAATAAAATCTAATCATATACATATTTTGGAAAAATATCTCTGATCATTGGCTCTGGTGCTTTTTTTCTGAAGTGTCTTCTAATGTCCCCTACATTAATGCAGATCTAGCACTATCCCAGAATATAGTAAATTTCCTACCTCTTCAACATTTAGATACTACTTTCAAAGTTTACTTTCAAATTCTTTAACCAGGATACCCAACCACATATACTATCTTTTTCCTCCTCTTCTCATAGGTACTATATATCTATTCCTCCAAAAGTCTCATTTTATTTCTAGATCCCCAAAGTTTCAGCCCAACTCACCCTTGAAGCACATTGGCAGTGGAGGATTCCATTTGCTGTTTGGTTGGCACCATACTGTGTTGCTGCCTTTCATGGTAAAGCCAGGCTTACACTTAAACATCACAGTATCATTTAAGGAAAATGAACGTCTAAATCCAGATTCCATAATTCCATTTTCAACTTCTGGAACTGGGCATTTGACTAGAGTAATACACTGAGGGGGAGGGCTGCTCCAGATGCCAACACGATTGTCTTTGCTGGTGCAGTATATTGATGGCTCACCCACGAGGTCAAACAGCTTTTTCCCATTCTGTCCAACATGGCACTGATAAGTCACCACCATTCCATAGTAAAAGTCCTCTCTACTGCTGCTGTAAAAGTCCCCATTGGAGATGGCTGGGGGTGGCTCACAAGCAATAACTTTTTAGGGGGTAGGTGGGAAAAGAGAGAAGGCATTTAAATGTTATACCTTCTGGGATTTTTGTCTTCACTCTCACAAACCAAACTTCAACTCATCCTACAATTAATCCATATTGTTGAAATTGTGTATCCTCATCTCAAAGATGGTTCTAAATAGGAAGTAGCAAAGTAGAAAGATACATGGAACTGGCCTGATGAAAACTCAAAAAGCTATGAGCTGGTCACCAATCCCCACCCCCAGAGTACAGATAAACTGTTATTGGAGGCATCTAGGGTGGCCTACATTTTGCATAAAATAAAGTTGGCAGTGTATAATCTTGTGGTATATTTTAGGTGTAAGCACTTCTTCACTATAAAATAACTTATCGTCAAAGGAGAGTAATCAAAGGAAAGTGTAGTGGGATTGGGGGGCATGGAAGAAGATAAACAAACCATAGGTCTGTGCCAGACTACCCAAACCAAGTACCCAACCACTCCTGGGTACACATTTTGATGTGTGGATGCCCAATTTCCCTCTAGAAGGGGACAAGAGGAATTACATAGGGTGCAATAAAGGGATCGTTTTACTCACTTTCACAAAAAGGCATGTCGTTATCCCAGGTTACAATATTGTCTGAGATAATACATGTAGCAGAAGAGTCACCAATGAGTCGATATCTAAAGACAAAGAGATGAGTGATCATCTCCCAGCTAGACAGACATTTTAGGAAAGCTTAGTTCTTTTTCCACTGAAAGAATGGCAAAGAATAGAATATCATGTATGATAAATAGTGGTGATAGACTAGGGACTCTTATAAAAGATTCAACAATCTAAAGCCAAATGAAATTTGGCCTCCTCATCAGTAAAACTAAGAATTAAAATTGGAATAAAAGTAGCCCAAACTTCCTTCTCTTCTAGGGATCCTCTAGTGGGTAATCCTGAAGAGTTTTTCTGGAGCAGATCAGAGCGGCGATTCTCATTTTGCTTATCTGTTTTTAAGGGTAGGTGGTGATTACTCAGATCTCTTTTGGAAGACTGATGGTTTCTGGTTGAAATTACTGTTCTAATACCCATGTACCCTAAAGATGTCTCCTGCCAACTCACCCTTTATCACAAGAATATGTAATTGTTGACCCAAACACGATACCCATGGGTGTAAGGACAGAGCCATGGAGGAGTTCTCTAGGACTCATACATGATTTACCTACAAGGGAAAACAAAATAAAACAGCATTTGGGACTGGGATTTGGGGGACGTTTTGTGTTTTATATTAAATCCCAACCTGACTGTACTTGCTGACTAGTCTATTTATCTTTATTCAAAGAAATTTTTGACATTTACAAAACTTCTGTCTTCCAAGGGATCAGTCAACTCCAGAATACTATTTGTTTAAAGCACATAGTCTATATTTCTGATCATGGATGCAAACATTATTTGTGGTCAACCATAACTTAGAATCTCTATTTCCCCTTTTATATTCTGTCAGTTGATGGCAACATCTACCAAGTCTCATGGCTTAAAAAAAACCTCATAGTCATCATTTCCTTTTTGTAACTCATCCTCTACCCCCTGCCCTTCATTCAATTGGTCACCAAGTTTTAGTGACCAATTAAAAATCTCTCTTCAAACCAACTATTTTGCCACTGCTGTAATCTCTCATTGGATGACTGATTAACAAAATTTACGTTTCTAACTCTGGTCTCCATTGGTCCAATACATATTCTATACATATTATCTTTCAGAAGCACAAATATGGTCATGCCACTCCCCACATTTAAAAATTTACAATGACTTACCATTGTTTATTAGAAAAAAATGCAGGGCCTGTGACAATTAAGCTCCAATCCACTTAATCAACTACTATTCCTCACCATGCACCTTATACTCCAATCACACTGAATTTTTCTATTTTCCAAAGACATCATGTTTTTTCATACCTTTATGCTTTTGCATAAATTACATCATAGTACAGTATTTGTTTAAAAGTAAGTCTTTACAACTAGTATAGGAGTTCTTCAAAGACAGAAACTAGCAGATTAATTTTTATGTCTCTCTCTAGCCTCATCATCTAGCCTAGTACTTCATACCTCATGATTACTCAAAAATATTTCTTGAATTTAATGGGGTAAGAATGAGGTGAAACTAATATTCCCTGTGTACTAACTTCTAACCTCACTCTAACACAGTTCAGAGACCACAGAAGAAGGTCATGGAGATTACAGGCTTAACAGGGTTGACCAGCTGTGATGAATTAACCCCAAGACCCAAAGCCCTTAGGAGTAAAAGAAAACATGAAGAACCCAGGAGCCCCCTTCATTTGAGATTACTTACTAATTTACTGGTCTTTTATCAGGAAAATAAAGGTTAGCCCATAGAGATACACTGATAGAACCAAAGATGCCTCTGTTACAGATTACTCACGTTTACAGAATTGCTGAGCATCTGACCACTTGGAGGTGTTTAGGCAGGTGGCAAAGAATGACCTCTTGATATACCCAGGAAGGCATTCATATTCCCAAGTTGTCCCAACAGCAAACTCAAACTGATCACTCTGAATTTTAGGCTTAGCAAAAGGATACCTTGGCAGGAACTTACACTGACCTAGAGACAAAGACCACAGGAATATCAAAACTAAGAGAGGCTAAAACTTCTACTCTGCTTCTGTTTTGCCACCAATTACCCTGACAAATTTGATCTTGAGAAAGTAAACCTAAAATTGGGCAATATTTTCTGGGACAAAGAACATATATCTTGCAGTAGGGGTGCAAATACAGAGAAATAAGCTCAGAAGTTCAAAGACTTTTTTAGGATAGACTTTAGAGGAAGAGCTTGAAAAAATCATTTTTCACAAAGTTCCATAAAGACCCTGTAGTCGTTTCATCTTCCTACAACCTCATAAATAAAAACTAAAACCTTAAAAATAAAAACTTTTCTGGGATAGCACAGAAAACTAAAGTACATTAGAGACCTTGTAAGCTTAGCATATGTATGATCCTCTAAAATTACTTCAATGAACTAACATTATTATCTTAGTCATTAAAACTTTAGATCGTAGCAAGAAGAAAATATGTCTATTTATTATTCTTCATTATTTTGTTACATTAACCTAGTAGAGTAATATGCCCCCTAAGAGAGCTTAGTAAATACTTTCTGATGGGATAGGTACTAGATAAAAGGAACTACTTATTTCAAGGCAGTTCCCTGTGAATTAAAATAATAATAATATCAATAATGAAATGAATATTATCCCAGGAGATAGGTAAGAAACTGTAACACTCATATACTTGAGGATGTACCTGGAAAAGTCATTTTTCTAGGTATGAAAGAGAGCTCAAGTTTCAACTCCAGAATGGCGGTATATTTGAATATCAAATTTATAAATCTCCTTCTTTTTCAAACAATTCTGGGATAGGTAGAAGTGAAAGTCAAAGAACAAACATGGACTAATTGACACAAAGACAGACACAGAGCTACTAAGGTTGCAGCCAGGCCCAGCCTTTCTGTAGCCCGACACTCTAATGGAGAAGTCATATAGACTGGATCTAAGAATGGCTATCACTGTTGGGACCCAGATCTCACGGTACGTCTCTTTCTGTTTCTTTGCTCAACTCCTTTGGTTTCCTCCTTTAACACCTACAAATGTCCCCAAGTGCACACCTGTGCAAACAGCAAGACTCTATAGGGAAAGTCAAGATTTGACCTCAATGAAGACCGTCTTCACAACCCTGACATTACTTGTACCAGTTCACCCTAATCAAGAGATTTGCCTGTAATTACCAATGTGAATAAGGACAATACCAAATAATTCTTTACAAGCTGGAAAACCAATTTAAATTTATAAGATTTAATCAGTAGCAATGACATGGACTAAGATGGCACCAAGATCTTGAAGCAGCAAAAGCAGAAGGGTACTTTATAACATGACCTTATCTTAGGACCTTATAACATGACCTATCTCCATAAAGGAGATAAGAATCACATTTTTCTGGATGAGAAATAATGGGAAATTCTTATCCCCAATTAGGGGATCTGGGGACTCTCTCTTTCTTTGAGGACACTAGCTCTCATTAGTAATAAAATTGCCAAAATACCAGGTCACACAACAGAATTTCCAGCGATCATGTTCTCTTCCATATCAGAAAAGGGACAGTTAGTCCACGAACCATTAAGTAACATGAATTTTTCTTCAGAGTCATTGCACCCTCTTCACATCTTTCTAAAATCAGGAGTAAAACTCACAGTAGATTATGATTGGATCTAAAATAGAAGATAGTGGCAAAACATTGGCATATACATCCCTCAAACCATGTTAAAAACTAACTAAGCAAAGCAGTTTCTGGAGGACAGGGATACATTTAAGTCTTCATTTGGATCCAAGGGGCTTTACCTGGAATGGCTTAGAAATCTATTTGAAATTAATGAAGAACAAGTATATAAAATAATAATAAAACTGAAAGTTAAGTCAGCAGAAAGCAGGTAAGAGGAGAAATTATCATTGAGAATGAGAATTATTATAATCAAATGCCTTAATACTGATTTTCCTGGCTATTTGATCATTTCTGAATGGCAGTTATGCATATTAACCAAGGTATTGCCCTTTGAGATACATCAGTGAACTTTAGAGACAAGGTTCCCACCCTCATGGAATTTATATTCCAATAGAGGAAGACAGATCATAAATAAATACTGGTAAACAAATAGATGATATGTAAAGGAAGTAAACAGAGTGATGTGAAAAATGTAATGCACTAGAAGGAGGAGGGGACGACATGGCATACAACTTCAGTTATGATGATTAAGGACGGCCTATCAAGAGGAGACATTTGAGTTGTGACCGAAGGATAAGGAGCCAGCCAGGCAAAGTGCTTGGAAAAAGCATTTCAGGCCGAGGCCTAACAGCAGGGATGGATTTGCTGTGCGTTAGGGATAGACAGAAGGCAAGTGTGGCTGGAAGGTAGTGATCAAAACAGAGCGGTATGAGATCAAGTTAGAAAGCTCAGTAGGAGGAATCATGTAGGGCTTCTTAGGCGACAATAAGATGTCTGGATTGTATCCTGAGTGGAAGGCATTGGAGAATTCAAGCCGGAGAGTCACATGGCCTGATTTACCTTTTAAAAAGAATAGTCTGGCAGTTGGGTGGAGAATGGACTGGACTGCTACTCTTAGAAGCAGGGAGTGCAGTCTAGAGGCTATTACTGTAGTTCACACATAAATTGAGGCCTGGATTTTTTACGGTAGTTAAGACATGGGAACAACCTAAATGTCCATCAATGGATGAATGGAAGAAGTTGTTGTGTATACATACAATGAAATGTTACTCAGCCATAAAAAAGTGAGGAAATTCCACCATTTGTGACGACATGGATGGACCTTGAAGGCATTACGCTAAGTGAAAAAAGTCAGACAGAGAAACAGATAACTGTATGATCTCACCTATATATGGAATCTAAACTAAACTAAACAAAACAAAGCACCAAACTCATAGAAAAAGAGCTCAGATTTGTGGTTACCAGAGGCAGGGGCTGGGGGCAAGGGGAATTGGAAGAAGGTGGTCAAAATATACAAACTTCCAGTTTAAGATAAATAAGTACTAGGGATGTAATATACAACATAATGACTATAGTTAACACTGTTCCATGATATATAAGAAAATTTATTAAGAGAGTAAATCCTGAGTTCTCATCAAAAGGAGAAATTTTTTTTCTTTTCTTTTTATTGTATCTATATGAGATGATGGACGTTAACTAAACTTATTGTGGTAATCATTTCACAATATATGTAAATCAAACCATCACGCTGTACACCTTCAACTTATACAGTGATGTATGTCAATTTTTCTTAATAAAACTGGGAAAAAACTTTAAATTAATGCTTTCTGAAATAACTGTCTGCTCTAAAACTTTGGAATCTTGTAGCATGGAAGGGCTACAAGAAATATAATGAAGAGAAATAAAATATTAGTAATTACTATCAAAGCATTGGTTTTAATCCAAGACTTAGCATTTAATATGTTGGCTCAAGCACTGTAGAGTTTATTTAAGAGTTTCATTCTCTAGCATATTGAAGCATGGAACAAATAATGCCCTACAGTGAATGAAACTAAGAAGCTGTGAGTAAAAGGAGTACTTGATAAAATTTATGTATGACACCTTTTAAATTTCTTGGACTGTCATGTACTTTTGGTGGGCATTAAATGATTATTTGCTTATATATTTTTTCGCTTCATGTCAAAAATGTGTTTATTCTTTTGTTGTATTCTAGTCATTAAAATATTCGTTTAATTTTTAAAAAATGAGGCTTGGACCACAGGGAAACAGAAGCGGATGAATTTGGAATATATTTTAGAGGTGGAATTGACAAGATTTTTTGTTGTATTGTATGTGGGGCTAAGGAAATGGGAGGATTCAGTGATGATTTCTAGGCTTTTGACTTGAGGTACCTGATTGATGGTACTAACATGTACTGGGATGGGAAAGCCTTGGAAAGGATCAGGTTTTGTGTGTGTGTGTATGTGTGTGTTGTGGGGTGTGTGCAGAATTGGTTCCCTTTTACACTTGGTATATTTAACACACTTACTGGGCATCCAGACAGAGATGCCAAATAGGCTGTTGGATGTACAAATTTGCTGCTCAGTAGAGAGGTCAGGACTACAGATAATAAATATGAGTCATCAAAATATAAATAGTATTTAAAGCCATGAAACTGGATGAGATCTCTTACGAAGAAGGTATGGAGAAAAACAGAAGAGACCCAGGACTGAGCCCCAAGACCCTCTAATATTTAGAGATAGGGCAAAAGAGACTAAGAGTAACCAGAGAGAAAATATAGGTAAGAGTGTCCTGTTTTAGCAGATGAGAATTAAAACTGTTTCAAGAGGGAGGAAGTAGTCAGCTTTTGCTGAAAGATTGAGAAAGATAAGGATAGAAAAATGACCACTGGATTTGCCAGCATGAAGGTCAGTAGTGGCCTTGCTGAGAGTGGCTTCAGGAGAATGGTGGAGAAAGAAGCCTGTCTGGAGTGGGTTAAGGAGATAAAGAAATGTGAGCAAGTAGTCAATGAGAAGTTTTGCTGAGAAGGATGAGAAGAGGGACAGAAAAATGGAGTGCCATTGGGTCATGAGAAGTGCCCCCTCCCAACAAATAAAGGATGTCCTGAGGCATATTTAACTGCTGGTGGGGTTGATCCAACAAAGACAAATGGATGATGGAAGACAGGGGATATCTGCAGAGTAAAGTACTTGCAAAGGCAAGAGAGGATGGAATGTGATCGTGAATATAGGAAGATGACTTTTGTCAGGAGAAAGGATACTTTTTCCATTGTTACAGGAGGAAAAAGAACATTCTTATTGACTCCTAGTTACATGCTAGTGCTAGAGATTCATCAGGCAATAAGATAGATGAAGGCCTTGCTCTCATGGAACTTGTGTTGATGAGAGCACAAACAATGAGGGAACAAACATCAAATAAGTAAATAAACAAGAAGGTTTCATATGATGATAGGTGCTCTGTGGAAAATAGAACACAGTTACGTGACAGAGAGTGCACTGGAGTACGCACTATTTCAGAGAGGAGTCAGAGAAGAGTGACAGGGGAGCTAAGACCTCAGTGTGGAGAAGGAGACTGGCAAGGGATGATCTGTAGGAAGAGCATTTCAACAGGGGAAACACCTAGTGCAAAGGCTAAACAAACATGGCTGTGTTCAAGGAATGGAAAGAAAGCCAGTGTGGCTGGAGCAAAGGGACTGAGGGGGAGTACAGAGAATTCAGAGACAGGCGGAGCCTGTAGTCAAAGATAAGGGGCATGGATTTTGTTCCAATGTGATGGGAAGCTGTTGGCAGCTTTTAAGCAAGAGAGAGAAAGGATCTGATCTCAGATGGAGGTAGATGATTAGAAAATGAGAGAATTCCTATTTGATGATTTTGTTTTCTTAGTATAGGATGAGGTGAGGCTGTCGGTCAAGGCAAGAGTGAAATTTAAGAGTGCAGGAAATTTGAATCAGTTTATGCAAACAGACAAAATGAGAAAGTGGGAAAACACTCTAAGAAGGAAATTTGCTTCCCATATGACTTGCTCACAGCACTGTGTCCCAGAGACACTTGGTTTAGAATCTTCCAGAATGCTTGTTAAACCTCAGCTTCTTGGGCCACATCCCAAACCTATGAATCTCTGGAGGGTGAGGTGGAACCCAGGAATCTGCATTGTAAAAAGGCACCTCAAGAGTTTCTTAACCATGCTCAAGGGCAGGAACTGGCCAAGAGCCAACGGACAGTTTGCGGAGAGGTCATAGTAAGAGCAAAAGTCAGGAGGGGGGCGTGGGCAAAGCATGAGAAAAGGACCATGGGGTGACGTCAGGCAAAAGGACAAACAGTGTGTTCTTGATAGGAAGCAATGGGGAATGGGAGGGGCTGCTCACAAGAGATCCAATTACAAAAGCTTGACAGGCTGAAGAGATTAGATTTTATCCCACAGGCAGTAGTAAGCCCTTTTAGGTTTTTGAGCAAGGGAGTGGAATAATGAAAAAAAAAGTATTTTTTTAAATTTTGGTTTTCACCATTGGAAATGTTAAAGAGACTGGTATCAGAGTGACCTGTAAGAGAGGAGGTTGTTACACATGTAATTATAATGCTTAGGATTACAATACTGGTATAAAAATACAAACAACAGAAGCAAATTAGCTATGACAGTTGGCAGATAGGTAGACTTGGTCTTTCCTGTGTCTGGAGATAAGTGACCTAGAGGATGGTCCTGCTCTGGTACTGGGAAGGGGATGCTCCCGCATCCTTGGAGGGGATGATGAATTGGCAGAGCTAGTGAGGAATTTCATTTTCAATTGATAATATCCTTTCTGAAATTTAGACATAGAAATGGCAGGCTGGTGAGAAGTCAGGTCTGGAACTGTGCCATACAGAGGTGTTAGAGAAAGTTGTGAATGGGCATTTGTTCACAGGGAATTAATACCTATGTAGGAGAGAGGGAGATGACAATAATGGTTTGGGGAAATATTCAGTTAAGGATCAGGAAAAGTAAAATGTCTGGAAGCAGACAAACTAAGTTGTAGGTACCAATGTATGCAATATCCCTTAACAAGCTGGGGTAGTTAAGCTTCAATGCTGGCTCCATAAAAACAGATCTATACAGTAGTCTTATTACTAATATTTAGTAATAACAACTAACATCTAACTTTCATTTGCCTAATTTCATCTGATATTCAGGGCAGCTCAGTAAGATGCTAGGGCAGCTTATAACCAGCTTCATTTTACAGATGAAGAAACTGAGGATCAGGGAGTTAAATGACTTGCCAAAAGTCACCCAGTTATTGAGGTCTGCATATAGTAAACTTCTTAATAAACTAGGAATTCACTGTACCCTGGAGATAATTAGAAAGTTAGACCCATCTTATCACCAAGAGACTCTAATCTTAAGAAATTACAATACTTTAAAATTAAGCCAACCTGGGGGTAAAAGTTATAACAGACGTTGAATAAGACGTTCCGGAGCCCTCCTCGTTACAGAAGATAAATAACACGGAAACAACTGTTCTTTTGTGTGTGTGTGTGAGGAAGATTAGCCCTGAGCTAACATCCATGCCAATCCTCCTCTTTTTGCTGAGGAAGACCGGCCCTGGGCTAACATCCGTGCCCATCTTCCTCTACCTTATATGGGACGTCGCCACAGCATAGCCTGACAAGCTGTGCGTTGGTGCGCGCCTGGGGTCTGAACCCGCGGCCAGCAGCGGAGCGGGCGCTCTTAACCGCTATGCCACGGGGCAGCCCCACTGTTGTTTTAGTTCACGTTTAACTTTTCTAAATAACTCCAAGTATCTATCTCTTAGGATTTCTTTACCAACATCACATCAAAGTTCAAAAAAATATGAGAACCATGCCTGGAAATCAGACGTTATTCTTATTCTGGGAAGGCAGCAGGAGGTTCTGCTGCTTTTACTAGTCAAGAGCGAGTTTAGTGTATGCAGAAACTCCCGCGCCTAGCGGAGCGTGTAGCCGATGTTTCTGCACACATCATGTGCGGTTACGTGGCCAGCGTTACCCATCGCAGACCTCCTGGCCCAGAGCGATGAGCACCTGCTGAGTCCCGAGGGCAGGGAGCCCAGAGCGAGCACACCACGGGCCACACTGGGTAGATAATACAATGCCCCTCTGCGGTGCAGCCTCCGGTTCTTGTGGTCCCAGCCCCGGGAGGAGCGAGTGAGGGCATTCAGGACCAAGAGAACGCGGGGCTCCCCCAAACCGAGCGAGAGGCAGGCAAGCGTCCGGCACTGCCCCCACCTTCTCTCTTTTGACTACTCTGCTTTGCACCGCGACACAGAGACGGTCCCTGCCCCAGACGCGTCCCTACCTCCGCGCTCCCCCTCCCAGCTCACCGAGGACCCCTGGCGCGACGAGAGCCAAGAAAACCCAGAGCAGGCCCGCGGCGCCCATGCCACGGCGGCAGCCCCAGCGGCGGGATGCGTTCCGAGACCCGCGAGCCTCCAGCAGTTGGGGGAGGGCAGGGTTGTTGCAGGAGACAGCTGGCAGCAAGAGAAGGTGGGCCTTTAAATACTGTCGGGCACCACGTGCTAGCTTTGCGCGCACACCTGCGGGCTGCCTGGGGGCGGGACGCTGGCGCGGGTAAGGAGGACAGAGGCGGCGAGGGGCAGGCCAGAAGGGGCGGGCCAGAGGGGGCGGGCGGGGCACAGGAACTCTGACCCGAGTCCTTGGCTCCGATTCTAGTCCTTAGTGCAGTGGCTTTCCAACTTGCTTGACCTCGCAACCCAGTGCGTCCACTTTTGTCTCTGTCTGTCTGTCTCTCTCTCTCTCTCAAACTTACAAGTTTCAAAAAATAGTACTCATCCTTACTAATCTACAATGTTCTGTTCTATTCTATTCTATTCTATTCTATTCCAATCTATTCTATTCTATTCTATTCTATTCTATTCTATTCTATTCTATTCTATTCTATTCTATTCTGTCCCGTCCCGTCCCGTCCCGTCCCATCGCATCCCATCCTATTCTATTATTCTGGTTTGGATCCACTAAATTCATTTTAAAAGCCATTGGATATATACCCAACAGTGGAATAGCTGGATCATATGGTAGTTCTATCGTTGATTTTTTGAGGAATCTCCATACTGTTTTCCACCAATGTTACTGCAATAAACAAAAAATTTAAAAAAAATAAATAAAAGCCATTAATGTTTCCAACCCTTAGTTTGAAAAAACCATTTATTTAGAAAGGAAACTTATGAACAGCAGCCACCTCTACTGCTATGTCCTTTTTATTTTGAATTAATTTCTACAAAGAAAAGTTGCAAGAATAGTACAAAGAATTCACATATACCCATCACTCGGATTCTCTCAACGTTAACATTTTACTATATTTTGTTTATCATTCTCTGTCTCTATGTATATAGATAGAGAGATAGATAGAGATATAGTTGTATATATATATAGATCTAGATCTATCACATATACGTATATGTGATTATATAATTATAATTATATAATTGTTACTTTGGAACTGAGGTAAGTTATAGGCATGACACCTCTCCTCTAAATACTTTAATGTGTATTTCCTAAAAACAAGGACATTTTCTTGCATAACTACAGTGCAATGAACAAAAACAGGAAATAAACATTGATACAATATTATTATCTAAGTGACATACTGTACTCAAATTTCTCCAATCATCTCAATAATCTTCATTATAGCAAATACACACACACACACACACACACACACATCCTTTTAATTTTTCTGTTCCAGGCTCATTCTAGGTTCCCACATGTCGTTTTTTTCCATTTAATCCGGAAAAGGTCCTCAGTCTTTTTTTGTCTTTCACAACCTTGACATTTTTGAAGAGTACACAGCAATTATTTTTGTAGAATTACTTTTAAATTAGTTATCTATTACATAGTAACAAGTTACCCTAAACTTATTCATTTAAAGCAAGAAAAAAAATTATTGTCTCACACAGTTTCTGTGTGTCACGTATTCGAGAGCAGCTTAGCTAGGTGGTTCTGGCTTGGGATATCTCATGAGGTTGCAGTCAAGACATCAGCCAGAACTGCCGTCATCTGGAGGCTTGACTGGGACTGGAGGATCCACGTCTAAGATGGCTCACTTACTTGGCTATTGGCTGGAGGCCTCATATCCTCACCATGTGGGCCTTGCTATAGGACTCTTTGAGTGTCCTTGTGATATGGCACCTGGCTTCTCCTAGAACAAGAGAGAAAGGCAGAAACCACAATGTCTTTATAATCTATCCTCGGAAGTTACACTATTATTTCCACAAAATCCTGTTGGATACCGTGATGGTTAATTTTATGTGTCAACTTGACTGGGCTATGAGGTGCCCAGATATATGGTCAAACATTATTCTGAGTCTTTCTGTAAGGATGTTTTTGGATGACATTAACAATTTTTTATAGTGGTAACTGATATATTTATTTTTATTCTTTCCATTTTGTTTTTTTCCCCAGTTTTATTGAGATATAATTGACATAATATTGTATTAGTTTAAGCGTACAATATAATGATTGGATATATGTATACATCGTGAAATGATTACCACAGTAATATTAGTTAACATCCCTCACTTCACAGTTGCAATTTTTTTCTTATAATGAGAACTTTTAAGATCTATTCTCTTAGCAACTTTCAAATATACAATACAGTATTATTAACTATAGTCACCCTGCTGTACATTACATCCCCAAGACTTATTTATTTTATAGCTGGAAGTTTGTGCCTTTTGATCACCCTCACACATTTTCCCCTCTCCCCACCCCACCCCACCCCCCACCTCTGGTAACCACCAATCTGTTTGATGTTTTTATGAGTTTGTTTTTTTTTGGATTCCACATATAAGTGAGATCATACAGTATTTATATTTCTCTGACTTATTTCACTTAGCATAATGCCTTCAAGGTCCATTCATGTTGTCACAAATGGCAAGATTTCATTCTTTTTATGGCTGAATAATATTCCATTGTATATATACCACAGTTAGGAAAATCCATTCATCTCTCTCTTTGAGATAGTGATTTCTTTTTCTTTGGATATATACCCATAAGTGGAATTGCTGGATCATATGGTAGTTCTATTTTTAATTTTTTGAGGAACTGCCATGCTGTTTTCCTTAGTGGTTGCACCACTACATTCCCACCAACAGTGCATAAGGGTTCCCTTTTATCTGCATCCTCTCTAACACTTGTTATCTCCCGTCTTTTTGATGGTAGCCATTCTAACAGGTGTGAGGTGATATCTCACTGTGGTTTTGATTTGCATTTCTCTGATGATTAGGGATGTTAAGCACTTTGTCATGTTTGCTATGCAGAAGATTTTTAGTTTGATGTAGTCACACTTGTTTATTTTTGCTTATTTTGCCTTTGCTTTTGATGCCAAATCCACAAAATTATTGCTAAGACTGATGTCAAGAAATTTACCCCCTATGTTTTCTTCTAGGAGTTTTGTGGTTTCAGGTATGACATTCAAGTCTTTAATCCATTCTGAGTTGATTTTTGTGTCTGGTGTAAGCTAGGGCTCCAGTTTCATTCTTTTGCATGTGGCTGTCCAGTTTTCCCATTTATTGAAGAGACTGTCCTTTCCCGTGGTATATTCTTGGCTCCTTTGTCATAAATTAATTGACCATAAATGTGTGGGTATATTTCTCGGTGTTCTATTCTCTTCCATTGATCCATGTGTCTGTTTTTATGCAAATACCATATTTTTTTTATTTTTATAGCTTTGTAATACAGCTTGTGTTAGATAAAAGAAAATTATATATTTTGGTCTCTGCCCCCAGTTCCTGGCACAGAGCTCCTAAAAACCTTGTAAATTCCTAAGTGATACAAGCCCTAGGAGCTTCTTTTGTTCTATTGAAGTGACTCTGGGTGGGCTCCTGGATGGCTCCTGGATAGGGGCTGGTCACCAGAAAGACCAAGCCATGATTAGAAGCTTGGAATTTTCAGCCCCACCCCCTATCCTCTAGAGAGGGGAGCAGGGCTAGAAACGGAGTTTATAATTGATCATGCCTATGTGAGGAAGCCATAAAACTCCAATAGTGTGAGGTTTGAAGAGCTTCTAGGCTGGCGAACACATCCACGCTGGAAGAGTGATGCACCTCCGCTCCACAGGGACAGAAGCTCCTGCACTTGGGACCCTCCCAGACCTCACTCTATGTATGTCTTCATCTGGCTATTCATCTCTATCCTTTGTCATATCATTTAACAAACTGGGAAATGTAAGTATAGGCATACTTCGTTTTATCCCACTTCACTTTATTGTGCTTCACAGATATTGCATTTTTGATAAGACCCTCCACCAGCAAAAAGATTACTACTTGCTGAGGGCTCAAATGATGCTCAGCATTTTTTAGCAATAAAGTATTTTTAATCAAGGTTGTACATTGTTGTTTTTTCTTTTAAATTTTCTTTTGCTGGGGAAGATTCACCCTGAGCTAACATCTGTTGCCAGTCTTCCTCTTTTTTTGCTTGAGGAAGATTAGCCCCAAGCTAACATCTGTGCCAGTCTTCCTCTATTTTGTATGTGGGTCAACACCACAGCATGGCTGATGAGAGGTATAGGTCCATGCCTGGGATCCAAACCCGCAAACCTGGGCCACCGCAGCAGAGCATGCCAAACTTAACCACTGTGCCACAGGGGCAGCCCCTGCACATTGTTTTTTAGACATAATGCTGTTGCACACTCAATAAACCACAGTATAGTGTAAACATATCTTTTATACATATTGAGAAACCAAAAAATTTGTGTGATGTGCTTTGTTGCAATACTGACTTTGCTGCGGTGGTCTGGACCTGAACCTGCAATATCTCCAAAGTATGCCTGTAAGTGTTTCCCTGAGTTCTGCAAACCACTCTAGTAAATTATCGACCCCCAAGAGGGGGTTGTTGGAACCTCTGATCTATAGCTGGTTGGTCAGAAGCCCAGGTGACAACTTGGGCTTGCAGCTGGCATCTGAAGAGGGGTGAGGGGGCAGTCTTGTGGGACTGAGCCCTTAACCTATGGGATTGGACACTATCTACTGATAGATAGTGTCAGAATTGAGTTAAATTGTAGAACATTAGCTGGTGTGGCAGAGAATTAGTTGGTGTAGGGAAAAGCCTCCACACGTTTGGTGACCAGAAGTGTCAGAAGTAAAGTGTTCTATGTCAGAGTAAAGGAGAAACACAAGGAGGAAACACACACAGTGGGGAAGAACTGGGTTTTTCCCTACATAGGAAGGAAAAAAGCTGAGTTGTTTTTTTTTTACAGTGTGAAATCAGGAAGTGTGATGCCTCTAGCTTTGTTCTTTTTTCTCCAGGTTGCTTTGGCTATTTGGAGTCTTTTGTGGTTCTGTACAAATTTTAGAATTGTTTTTTCTATTTATGTGAAAATGCCATTGGAATTTTGATAGGGATTGCATTGGATCTTTAGATCACTTTGGGTAGTATGGACATTATAGCAATATTAATTCTTCCAATCTATGAGCACAAAATATCTTCCCATTTATTTATGTCTTCTTAAATTTCTTTTATCAATGTCTTATAGTTTTCAGTGTACAC